GGGTGTCAATCAGAGATAAAGGAGCCATATTTAATACTCTAAGCAATAAAAAAACGAAAAATACAAAAATAAACCATATTTTTACAGAATCACAATTGTAAGCCTACTTTTGCCCACCCCTGTATATTATAGAAGAAAAAGATCAGGGAACTTGAGAACAAGGCAATAGAAACTATACAAAACTAAACAAGAGAGGGGAAAAAATAAGAAATTAATTCTTTTCAGGGAAACAGGGTAGTATTCTGCCTTTTCTAAATAAATATAACACTGGGGAACCAAAGAACACATGCAAGTTCTCCTTATAAAAGTATTCAGCTAATAAGTGATAAAGGAATGGCTGAATTACCACTGATAACTAAGGATCATCTAACATCATAAAAAAATCATCTAACATCATAAAAAAGAGCAATATTCTGTGTCTCCTGGCCGAAGATCATACTAATAACTCTAAAGCAGTTCTGCAACAAAAAAAGTGGAAGTGGATTCCAATTAGGCAACCAGATTCAACTATCATTTTACAGAAAATATATAGAACTCTTAAAGTATGCTCAAGACATACAATTTGCAAAATCAGTCTGTGTGAAATAACAGTTTATTTCTCAAACATAAGGACAGAAAGAGAACTGGAGGAGAAACCTACACGAGGCAAGGCACTTAGGAGTCATTTATACCAATAACAATGTGAACATGTTACTTGGATCTTTCTCAAATAAACAAACCATTTTTAAAAATACATTTTTGAGGAAGTTGATTCAATATTATTAACATTAAGCAACTACTGTTAACTGAATTTGTAATAAATATAGTGTGATTATTATTTTTCTTTCTATATTAAGGTATTACATGTCCTTATCCCTCCATTGCCCTCCCCACCCCCTCCTCATGCCCTCATCCCCCTGGTGTCTGTGTATTATGATTATTTTCCTTTTCTTGTCTTCCTTCCTTTCTTATATATCTCCCTTCCTCTCTCCCTCCCTTTCTTCCTAATCTCCCTCCCTTCCTTCCTTCCTTGTATATCTCCCTTCCTCTCTCCCTCCCTTCCTTCCTAGTCTACTTCCCTCCCTCCCTCCCTTTCATCCCCTCTCCCTTTCTCTCTCCCTCTCCCTCTCTCTCTTTCTCTCTCCTTTTAAGTATGTCCTCTGGTGTGAATTTAAAAAAAAAAAGATTCTCTTTTAGAGAGACCCCAATGTATAGATGAAATAACAAGTCCGGGGCTGGCTTTCAAATATAAAGGGAACAAAGGGAGTGAGTAGAATTGTAAATTCAACAAAACTGTATAATATATTATTAATATATAAAACTGGTGAATACATGATAATCCATTATAATATTCTACCTACTTCAATAATAAAGTGTAGAAAACAATTAGAGTCTCAACAAACTGCTATCCTTTTGGACTATGATTTGTGGCTTGTTTGTGAAATGAAAAATTATTACTGTCTGGTTACTTTGGTAACTAAACTCCTCATATAAGAACTATCTTCTCATAAATCAGATGTTAAAGATGCACACCCATGATCTCCTTTCATAGTAATCAAGAGAAAAACTTCAGGTTACACACAAGGAAGAAGCAACTCTGGCTGGGATTTTTTTTTCTTTCATTTTTTTTTTATTAAGGTATTATATGTGTACATATCTTACCATTGCCCCCTCTGGCTGGGATTTTTAAAGATAGTATAAAATAAGGAATTCATATAATTCATTAGCAAAAATAAACAATCTTATAAAAAAAATGGGCAGACGACATGAATAAACACATCTCCAAAGATGACATACAGATAGCCATCAGACATATCAAAAGATGCTCAACATCACTAGTCATCAGGGAAATACGAATCAAAATTACAAGATACCACCTCAAACCAATCAGAATGGCTATTATTTAAAAATTCAACAAATAACAAGTGTTGGTAAGGATATGGAGAAAAGGGAACATTTAGGCCCTATTGGTGGAACTGCAAATTAGTGCAACTGATATGGAAAATAGTATGGAGTTTCTTTTAAAACAGATTTACCATATGACTCAGCAATTCTATTCTGGGTACCAATCCAAAGAAAACAAGAACACAATTTTCAAATAGACATATGCACCTCTATGTTCAACTAGAGGCCCAGTGCGCAAAATTCATGCATGAGGGGGGGAGATGTCCCTCTGCTCAGCCTGCACAATCCAGAACCCATCAAGGGTTGTCTGACTACCAGTTTAGTCAGAAATCCCCCTCACAATCAAAGACCGCTGACTCCTAACCACTCACCTGCCTGCCAGCCTAATGCCCCCAACTACTCTCCCCTGCCAGCCTGTTCACCCCCAACTGCCCTCCTCTGCCAGCCTGGTAGCCCCCAACTGCCCTCCCCTGCCGACCTGGTAGCCTCTAACTGCCTCTGCCTCAGCCCCCACTACCATGGCTTTGTCTGGAAGTCGGACATTTGGAAGATGGCTGGTCGACCTGGTCTAATTAGCATATTACTCTTTTATTAGCACAGAGATTATATAGGATTGCTTAAATTTGGGGAGAGGAGCCTTTTTCAGCAGGAGGAGATACTCTTGGTAGACAAAAATACATAATCCCTATATTTGGACTGATAGTCATCCATATGCACTATACTGCCCAAACTAGTCATTGAAAAATTAAACCACTTTCTTACAGCTTATACTGAATAGCTGTTGCCCTCAAAACCCCTCCTCAGCCCCCACCTTAGGTTCTGCCTTCGCAGTTCACCCTGAATTGGCTCTGACTTGTTGGTTTCTGTGCCAGTCAGCGTCAAAAGTTTCGCCTCCTAGGCAGCCATTGGCTCCTGGCAGTTCACCCAAAATTGGTTGATTTGTCAGTTTCTATGCCTGTGAGTATCAAAAGCTCCACCTCCTTGGTAGCCACTGGATCCTCTGGAAAATCCAGAAAGGCCCTGCCTTCACATCGGCTCCAGCCCTTCAGTCATGCCTCATTACTTTTTCATATATGGCCCCTTCCCCCCTTCCCTTGATGTTTGTGAAGTCACTTCTATAATTCCTAAAAGTTTCTTCAACTCTATCCAGATATTTTCCTAGAATGTAAGCTTTCCTTCATCTACAGATTTTTTTTCATTCATTTTAAACAAGTTTACTTTCTGTGTGTGAACATTTCACACTTCCCATTATTCTGCTTTCTTCTCCATGGAAACCAATTCTAGCTTTTCACTATCTGCTATTCATTCTCTTTAACTGCCTTCATTTTTTGCCTACTATCTCCACATTCTATGCGATTTCTTCATGGTCAATCTATAGCTTACTGGTGACATCTTCTATATTGTTTACCACTTGCTGCTTGCAATAAATTATATGTATATTTTTTTTTTATTAAGGTATTGAATGTGTACATATCTTACCATTGCCCCCAAGCCCACCCCACACCCATACATGCCCTCACTCCCCATGTTTTATGTCCATTGGTTATGCTTATACATATGTATACCATGTCTCTGGTTGATCTCTTATCTCTCCCACATCTCCCTAACCTTCCCGCTGTAACTGAACAGTCTGTCTGATGCTTTACTATCTCTGTATCTATCTTTTTGTTCATCAGTTTATAATGTTATTTATTATCCATAAATGAGGTAATGTGGTATTTTTCTTTCCTGACTGGTTTATTTCACTTAACACAATTTTCTCCAATTCCATCCAGGTTGCTGCAAAAGGTAATAATTTCTTCTTTTTTATGGCAGCATAGTATTCCATTGTGTACATGTAAGACAGTTTTCTGATCCAGTCATCTGCTGACAGGCAAGTAGGCTATTTCTAAATCTTACCTATTGTAAATTGTGCTGCTATGAAACATTCTGACATGTTTCAATGGTCATTTATTTAATGCCTTTGTCTTATTTGCCAATAGTTTCTAAAATTAAGTTCACATAAACAGAAAGAAATTTTTAAAAAATTTACCTGAGACAGTCCACAGTCTCTTTCAGAAAAAAAGGTTTATGCAATTATTCAACATGAAGAAGCATGCTACCCCAATCACAACTAATTAGACAGTGACTAAGCCAGAAGTAATGAGGTAAATACAAAACCAATCATCAATGACTATGACGATATTAGGACCAACTATCTGATATGATATACTCTCGAGAACAGTGAGGAGAGATACATATGAAGTAGGCAGGTATCCATATTAAGTAAGAAGGGGTCCATAAAGAATACAGACTTACTCTTTTGAGCTATTATAGAACCACTGTTAGAGATCCATAGAGTAACAGTGCAATTTACAATCCTTAGAAATACGGACATACATATACTGCTGTGAAGATGATTATTCCATGCTTCCCTGCTTCCCTATTTCAAATACAGCACTGCTTCTGAAAATTTCGATCCAATACTCTAAACCACAAAAGAAAGTGGAAAATACGATGGAAAGTCCTACTGAAATTCCTTTGGAATTTCCCACCAGTCTTTAAATTCAAGTAATATGTTTATTCTACGCCACACTATAATAAGGGCCTGCTTCACAATAAAATTATTGTCAATAAAAGCTTTAAGCAAAATTAATGCTTCAGAAAGAAATTACAGGTTCGGGCACATTTTTGTCAATCTTCTAAATGGTCCTAGTAGGTTTGGTTCAGTTGATAGAGCGTCAGCCTGCAGACCGAAAAGTTCTGGGTTCAATTCCAATCAAGGGCATGTACCTTGGTTGCAGGATCCTGGCCACGGTCTTGGACATGAGGGAGGCACCCAATCAATGTGTCTCTCTCACATTGGTGTTTTTCCTGGTCTCTCTCTCTCCATTTCACTCTCTCTGGAAATTAATAGAAAAAATACCCTTGGGTGAGGATTAAAAATAAAGATATAAATAAAAAAATAAAATACCAATGAGTTCTCTCAAAAAATGAGAATCTAAACAAAACAAGACTGAAAATAATTTAAAAATTATTTCCTTAAAGTATAAAAGATTCTAAATATTACATAATCCAAGGAACAGTAAATTATTTTCCTAATTTCCAGAATATTTATCAGAATAAACTCAACTCACGATCTAATGTGTGGGAAATCCTCTTCAATTTTGCTGCCTGTGTTTTTGAAAATTTGGAGTGCAGCTTCTGCTACTTTTTCATCATCCATTTTCAGACAAGCCAGGAGAGATTCAAATGTTTCAGCAGAATGAAAGGAGATGGGATGTGTAAATGAGAGTACCTAAACGAAGAGTCATAAAAATGATTTGTAAACACTTTTCATCTCCACAATATAAACCCAAAATATCACATATTAAAAATACTGATCAAATACAAGACTAATTACACTAACAAGTAAATGAGAGCACTGTAAACAAAATTTGAAACATGCCCAAATATATAACAGAAATGTTCCCGTGTAAAAAAGTTGAATGATCTAAAAAACTCATTTCTTTCCAAATTAAATTATATGCTAATATAATTCTACTTAAAGTAATTTGAGTTTCAGTTCATGTTTGTTTAATTTAATTTGATTTTTTAAAGGGAAATAAAGGTAGAAGAAAAGGGCACAATAGAATTTAACAAAATATTTCTATTTTCCTAAATAAAAGTTATTAAAAGAGACTACCTAATAACATTTTTGAGAAATAAAGTAACCTAGGGAAGTAAAACACCAGGTAATAAAAGCTTACAAAAATCAGTCAACATGGTATTAACAATAGAAGAAATAAAAAAAGGAAAGCAATAAATAGACCCTAGCATACGTAAGAATTTAGATTATATAGAATGTAATACATTATAGAAAAGGCAACAAAACATAAATGAGAAAGGATGGAATTTTAAAATAAGCAGTCCTGGTAATACTGAAAGAAAACCAAATTAGACCATCCTCCAAAATATATAGCTTCAAAATAAATTTCAGATAGGTTATATTTCAGATTTAAACAACAGAAACAAATAAAATTCTCTTAAAATCATGATTTTTTTTAAGCTTAATTGGAATCAAATGTGGACTAAAAAAACAAACTAGTAGAAAAATATACATAATGCCACATTTATTTATAAGATTTAGAAACAACATTATTTAGAGATATATAGGGATAGTAAAACTATATAAAAAAAGAGAATAATAAACCCAAAATTGAGGACAATTATACCTAGAAAATATAAGGGGAAAACACATTCACAAAATTTCAATAGTATTATTGATACTGTTTAAATTAGCATTCCATTTACTTTTCACTGGCATTCATTTTACTAATATACTTTATAACTTACTTTATACTTAAATAGAATACATTAAATAGAATATATGTATATTCTATAGACATCAAATATGTCTTATGAAATAGCAAAAGAAATAAAAAAGCTCACTTAAATCAGCTAAAAGGAAAAAAAGCCAAAAATCAAAAGATTATAAAATGTCAATAGAAAATGAACAGAGGATAAAAATAACGAATTCACAACAGGGAAAAATACCAATGATTGACATATAAAAGGTGTACTTCATTAGTAATAGTTATGCAAATTAAGGTTATCTTTTTCTTATCAGATTTTTTCTTATCAGAATTTAGAAAAATTTTTAATAATTTTTACTAGTCCATGTTTGTGAAGACAGGAGATATACACCTTCATACACTGTTATTGTGTATAAAGAAATTGGGCATGATTTCTCTGTAAAGAAATTTGACCACCTATGTACCTACCCACCTATCAAACTATGAATTTTGAAAATGGTCATTCTCTTTGAACTAGTAATGCCCTTCTAGCATTAAAATCAATCAATCAATCAATCAAACAAAAAAAGCAACATATAAGAGATATTAGATGTATTTATTTTAGTAGTGATAATAGGAATAAAATAAAAAATATCTAAATATCTAGCAATAGGGAAATAGTTGGAAGCACTATTATATTCCAAAAGTGGAACAATCACCATTTCAAAAAATGTTTATTTACTTATTTATTTTTTTAATATATATTTTATTTTATTTTTTTCAGAGAGGAAGAGAGAGGGATAGAGCTAGAAACATCAATGAGAGAGTGTCATCGATCAGCTGCCTCTTGCACACCCCCTACTGGGGATGTGCCCGCAACCAAGGTACATGTCCTTGACTGGAATCGAACCTGGAACCTTTCAGTCCACAGGCCGATGCTCTATCCACTGAGCCAAACCGGTTTTGGCTATTGTTTTTACTATGAAGCAGATGCTGCACTAAACAATTTAGATACATGACTTAATTTAGTCCTCTGTAAGATAAATACTATTATTTTAATCAAGCATTACAGATGAGGAAACGGGGCAAACTTTAACTTCTCCTTAGTGTAATCTACTAAATGAGAGCCAAAAATCAGATGTTCTTTGACACTCTTAAACAGTCTTGCCCTAGCTGGTTTGGCTCAGTGGACAGAGCATCAGCCTGGGGCCTGATTCCCATCAAGGGAATATTCGGAGTTTCTGGTTGGAGCCCCAGTAGGGGGCTGGCAGGAGGCAGCCAATCAATGACTCTATTTCATCACTGATATTTCTATCATTCTCTCTCTCTTCCTTTCTCTCTGAAATCAATAAAAATATATTAAAAAACAAAGTAAAAACAAAAGTCTTAAAAATTGCTAATTTAATAAAAGAAAACCAAAATATAAAATTGTATACTGTCAATCTCAACTATATAAAAATATACATTTTCAAATATTAAAAGGAATAAAAAAAACACCTTGTTTGATAAGCTTATGAATGTTTTTGTTCTTTATAATTTTGTATTTTCTAAATTATCAACACCATTATTTCTGTAATGAGTAGTACATTTGCTAACAAAATAAAAGGTAAAATGGAGATTTAGGGAAAATTGTCTCCTCGGATAGAGATAGTACCTGCTTTCCTCACTAAAGAAACCTTTAAATTAGTCTACCAATTCTAGGCTACCATATACAATTGAAAACAAAAAATATATAGCTCATATAATAGAATACACAATTTATAAATTACCTAGTGATTGATAAAATTTTACTTTAGATTCTATAAATGTAAGAAGCAAGACTCAAGAATAAAAATTATAATTATATATTTAACAGTTAAGTAATTTAAATACTTAAGCAATTTACCTTAAGCAGTTCAAGACCTGCCCTGATGGCTTGATCAGTTGGAACACCTTCATCTTCATCATCTGCTGTCCCATCTATTGATTTGTTCACTTGTTTAATAAGAGCACTAAAGTATGACCAAAATAAATAAGCAATTAAATAAATAAATAAAATTATTAACTGTACTTTATTAGCAATGTCTAAGGAAAATAATCCTAAATATTTTCTACATAGCCTACATTCCAACCACATACAAATTTGTTTCTCATACATTACTGCAAAACAAAAACTATAATATTTTGAGATGCTTGTTTTCAAACAGTATTTGCTTTTGTCCATTCAGATGAGGTTAATATATTATTTGATTTGCTATTTATTAAGGCTATCTATATTTTTGTTCTTATATTTTCCATGGAAGGCCTATGCCCCAACACATAAATGATAATTCTCTTCTAATTATCTAAAATTCACTATTGCTCCAGTAAATAGAACAATCTATACTGAGATAATGTACAAATGACAACATTAAACACTTTCAAACCATTTATTAAGTATTACTGTATGTTAGATACTGCTGTAAGAGACAGACATACACAAACCTGCTATTGAAAGGTGTAAAAATACATAGGTAACAGATATACAATAAAGCCTCACTAGAACATTAGATCAAAAAGGAAACAGTTTTAAAATTTTCTTCTAAAAACAAGTTTAAGTTATTGTTAACATAATCATTTCATAAATGCATATCAATTATGTAAAAGTCATACTGATAGGTATTAATATAAAATAAACATCAGATTAGAGATATAATATCAAAATACAAAAAAATTAGATTATTCAATGTATGCTAATATGTTTACTAGATCATGGTTTCTTCAAAAATATTAGGTACTAAAAATTTAAGGACAAGCTAGAAGTGAAATTTATTTGTGTCTGTTATGGAATCCTTTTAAATTTACCACCCCTTTAATAATTGGTATCTTTGAGGATGTTTTCTCTCCTTTTCTGATCATTTCCTCTGATCAATTGTCATATCTCCAATTATTCCTAATAAAAATCTTCAGGCTGAATCATGTTCCCACATTTTCAGTTGCTAAGGCATATATATATATATATATATAATTAGTAGACCTGCACACAATTAAATCGTGCAGGTTCCCTAGGCCTAGCTGCAATCGGGGCCACGTCTACTACCCAGCATCACTCCTCCATCTCCGTGGTCCCTGCCTTGTGAACTTACATGCTAACAGCCCCCGCCACACTAGCTTCCTCAGCCTCTGCTTCCCATGCCCTGCAACGCTCTTCAGCCTCCGCTGCCTCATGATGCACCATGCTAACAGCCCCTGTCGAAGCTCCATACTCTCGGCCACACCCCGCGACACTCCTTCGCCTTAGTACCCTCTCAAAGCTCCACCTTAATAGCCCCACCCCGTTTCTCTCTCTTGCCTCTGCCACACCCATCCTGCCTTGCTCCTCCACGCCCCGCCCATCTGCCTCCACCACCCCATGACTCTCCTCTGCCTCACCGTGAGGTTCCTCAGCCTCCACAGCCCCACCCATGAGAGCCAAACGGGTTCTTTGGTTGTTTGGGCCAATAGCTCCCACCTTTCAGCTGCTGCCATGGGCGGCTAGAGGCCCACAATCCAGCTCCCTCAGCTGGTGTTGGGTCGAAACGCCGGTCGTTATGGACCCAGGGTTTTTATATATTAGGACTAGTGGCCCGGTGCATGAAATTTGTGCACAGAAGGGAGGTTCCCTCAGTCCAGCCTGCACCCTCTCCAATCGAGGACCCTTTGGGGGATGTCCAACTCGCAATATGGGACTGCTGGATCCTAACTGCTCACCTGCCTGTCTGCCTGATTGCCCCTGACTTCCCTTGCCTGCTGGCCTGATCTCGCCCCCAATAGCCCTCCCCTGCCGGCCTGATGCCCCAACTGTCTCTGCCTGCCAGATCTCACCTCCTATAGGCCAATTTGGTTCTGATTGGTTGATTTGTATGCCAGTCAGCATCAAAAACTCTGCCTCCTAGGCAGCCATTGGCTTCTCACAGTTCATCCAGATTTGGTTCTGATTGGTCAATTTCTATGCCAGTCAGCGTGTCTGGGCCTATCTCAGGGCCTGATTAGAGAGATGGGACTGATCAGCAGTCCCAGTGGAGGCCTGGAGAGAAACAGAGGCTTGGCTGATCAACGGCTGCCCTGGAGGCTGCAGATAAGACTCTGCCTCTTTCTAGGCCTGATCCATAGCCCATTGGTAGTTAGTGCTGGGTTGGCAGTCAGTGCTGGGTCATCACGGTAACCCAGCACTGACTGCAGGACTGACTTCTCCTGTTTGATTAAGCCTTCAGTCAGTCGTTACAGACTCCGGGTTTTTATATATTAGGATGAGTAGGAATAAAATGGTTTAAATGCATAGAATCTATATATAAACTCTAAAATTATATATAAAAATAGCATACAGATTCAAATACAGAAACTTAATTTCTGAAGGCTGTTCCAGAAATGATTTTTTCTAAATCAGAAATAATGTAAATTGAATTAATCCTTTCAAGACCCCCCCTCACAACGATTCCTTAGTTTTAACTTGTCTTATTGACAATACATGTCTAATGTACTGTTTAATCTATAAGGAAACACTTATTTCCTTAAATTTACCAAACCACCCCCAACTAGGCTTAAATAAATCACTTTTATACTTTTTCCAGGTCAGCCTACAGCATCTTTGCTTATTCATGTCACTGCCTCCAAAATGCTGTCATGGGCTAACTGCTTTTTGTTTATCAAAATCAACAACAGTTTTTCTACCTCTTCAATAGTCTGTGATCATTGCTTCTTTCCTTTAGTAACATTAGCACTCTTGATGGCCAGTTTATGTTTTTAAATTGTGCTAACAGTTGATTTCCCCCGAAACAAAAGTATTCTCTCCTTTGCTGTTTAAGAGACACTTTTTGTCATGCTGAGGTATCAGCTTGAAAGGGTTGTCAGGTTAAAAACTGAAGTTTGGTTAGACAACAGACATTTTTTTCAGTGAACTTGGTGAAGAACAAAATTGTTGGGAGAAGGGAGACATTTCAGAAAGAAGTTTGACTGTAAATGAAAGGAATTATTTTCCTAAGATGGAAATACAATATTATACAAGTGACATTTTTCACTAAATCCATAAATATCTCGGGAACATAATCTGACGTGGGATAAGATTCAACAAACCCATTTTATGGCTCATCTGAAAAAATTTATTATTTAGGAATAGCCAATAAATTTTAAGGGGGAGGAATGAAAGAACTGAGTCAATGAGATAAAAATGCATCATAAAAGCCTCAAAACACAAAGACACTGAAGTGAAATGTAGAAGAGTCCAATCATATAGCAATTTATGCTATAATAATGAAACATTTACAATCAAATGGGGAGGAATACATTTTTTTAATAAATGGAGTTGATACAAGTGGTTATATATTTAAGAGGATAACCTTCTACTTCCATCCTATATTAAAATAAATTATAGAATAATTAAAGATTTATTGCAAAAAACATAATCACTTAATACCAAAGGCAGAAAGAAATATAAAGACAACTGATAGATTTAATTATATAATTTAATATTATTAATGTCAATCAAACTGAGTTAATAGCCTTATTTTATAAAGCATTCTTATAATTAATAAGGAAAAAAAGACAATTCTAAGTTCCTCATAGAAAAATAAAAAGTGCAAATGTAAAGAAGAGATGTACAACTTTATTAGTAATATATTTTATTATAAAAGAGCACTTACATAATACTTATAAAATGGCAGACTGAAAGGTTAAAAGCCACCATTTGGAAGAGTTAGGTGATCTGGCCACTCACTGAGTATTGGTGGGGACTAAAGGTGGAAGCTTTTAGGAGCCTATTTGTAATGGAGTGGTTAACCAAGAGGGCTCTGGAGCCAGACTTCCTGGATTTAAATGCCATTCACCACTTCCAAGCAATGGGAAAGTTATTCAACATCTGTTTAACTCACTGTTCCTTATCTGAAAAATGAGAATAATAATATTTCTTGTCTTATAAGTTAAGAAGTAAATGAAGCAAAACATGTAAGACATTCAGAATGATCCCAGGAACATTACAAGTACTCACTGTTATTCTTATTTATGTTTTAACTATGGGCTATTGATTGCTAAAGCTAAAGATGTATTTTTGTCTTTCTCACTATTTGTGGTATATATTATTTCTGAAAACTTCTTTTATCTTAATTTTCAACATATTGCAATACCCCAGAGATTTTCAACAGGTGTGCCATAATACGCAATACTTGACTAATTAGTCAGGGACACTGACTGACCTCTTTTCCTTTAGACTGTTAAATAAAAAGAAATGACAATAGGCAACACAATAGCCATCCCATGTGAATGAATCAAAATTATATCTATTTTTTTGACTGTTAGATTGACAAAAACTATATTTTTTGGTGTGTTACAGAAATTTTTTGGTGTGTTACAGAATTTTTTTGTGTGTGTGTGTTACAGAATTTTAGTAATTAGTTTATGTGTGCCATTGGATGAAAGGGTTGAAAGTTGTTGCAATAACCTAACTTTCTTACATTTCTCTAATTTTTCTACTGTTATAAAACCACAAGATTCAGTCCATGATCTTTGGATCCTTTTCTTTCTACAAAATTCCTTGCTCAGAGAAGCAATCCAGTCAGTTTCACACTAAACTCAAATTACCTTATTTTTGCCGAAAGTGTTTGCCACGTCCAAATAAGAAGCAAAAACCTTCCTTACACCTCCTTGAAAACCAGCTCCCTTTCATTTTATTTTTAAAGTTATTACTATTCTCTTTATCACTTGGACCTGAATCCTATACCTCTGACTCTTCCTCGTCTTTACTGATGACTCATTTTTTAGATTGTTCTTTTCAAATCTTTCTCAAATATGACTCTTCCTTTCCATCTCACTACCACCATCCACAGACAAGTGTAAAACAATGGTTTAGCAGTCTATCTCTTCTCCTGTCCTCCTATCTATCAACAATCCATGGTTCTCAACAGAACAAAGAGAAAAGTAAGAGCTTTAAAGGTGGATTTTAAGTGCTTTCCACAGTCTAATTCCAGTGATTTTCGGATCATTAGAAGCACTTTAATAATTCTCTAAACTGTAGTTTACATAGATGGTAATCATTTTCTAAATAGCCTTGTTTTTCCCAATCCAGTTAGCTTGGTTTACATTAATCTCAATGCTCAGAATATTTCATTTCCTATCTCTATAGAAAAAAAATCGTAATCATTCTTCCTCTTTGGTCAAATACTATCCCTTTAGAGAAATCCTCTTTTAATCATCTGACGTTATTTGCACTAATTTTATGGATCTATAATATAATCTCCTGATTAAAATTCTTTATTAGTTTAGTAGACAGAGGCCGATGAAAAGCAGATAGTATGCTTTGACAATACCTAACTGGAATTGTTTTGAATACAAAAGGCACAAAATTATTTAACTAACGCAATTCAGTCTGATTCAGATTGTTTTTCACACTAATAAAGAAGGTTCTAGTATTTTGTTTTCTTTTTCAAACCACAGAACCCATCTTCAAATGAAAATTGATATAATAGGAGTTCAAAGTAACTAATGGATAGCCAAAGTAGGACCTCCCTACTTTGTGTGTGTATGTGTGTGTGTGGGGGGGGGTGCATGGGAGAGCATGGGCCAAGTTATACCCTGTTCCCTTCACTCCCAACTAGAAGGTCCCCAAAGGGGGCCATTAGTATTATTTCTTTTAGATTCTAATATAGTTCTGAAAGTTATTACTGATGACTAATAAAGCAGTATGCTATACATATAATTAGCTTATTTTTTAACTAGTTGAAACATTTCATTTTAGGAACAGTTTTTTTTTTTTTTTTAAATCTCTTCTCATATTTTACAAAAGGGAATTAGAGACATAAAAATAAAAATAAAGTATTTTCAAAGATCACAGTGACATCAAAGCTGAAACTTTATAAGAAGGTTGGTTTAAAATTAACATCTCCAGTTCTCAAATATCTGTGAAAATGTATCATGTTTTTTATAATATGCTCACCTAGTTTTCTTTTCCTGAAGGTATACTTGTATTACCTAATCTATGAAAGCTAACAAAAAATAGGAATACTTGGTACACTGATAACAGATAAAAAATAGGCTTGGATTAATAATTCATCACATAAATTAAAGCAATTTATTGTATTACCTAATCTATGCAAGCCAACAAAAAATAGGAATTTCTGGTACACTAGAAACAGATAAAAACTAGGCTTGGATTGGTAATTTCTCACACAAATTAAAGCAATATTTAAAATTAAAATAATTAAAAACTATATATGCACAAATGACCATGGATATACACATATATGAATAGATATGTTATACAAAGATATATACAGATGACTTTAAAGACATTATGTTTATACATACCTATATACAAATAAGTGTCTCGGTATAGCAAGTAATCATCAGTGACTTACTAAAGCATGAATGAATGTACAGAAATAAAAATGTAATATTTTTATAGTCAAATACCTGATAGATTCAGTATCTATGTGCACAGGTGCTATCCTCTCCAAAAGAAACTTGATCATTTCCAGAAAAGGATTTGTAGGCTGTTTGGGGTTGCCCAACTTCTTAGTTATTTCACGCTGTAATGTAGATTTGTTAAAAATGTTACAAAAGTATGTTTCAATTATTAAATTAAAATGTTAAGCACCTACCATAATTAAAACCATGTATTACTGGTACTAGAGAAATTTAATCAAAAGAAAATGAATAAGTCCAATAAAAACTAAATTAAGAATTTAGCATATGAGAAAGATAGTATTTCAAGTAAAAAAAAGATAGATTATTCAGTATATTATATTGAAATAACTGAACAGACATTTAAATAAAAACAGAGTTAGACCCTTATCTCATACCTTACAGCAAAAATATTCTAATAGGATGAAAACAAATATGAAAGAATAAAAACAGTGTCAGTAGACATACAAACTTTAGCAAACACAATCATCAGGGGAGCTTTTGGAGCTACAGATTCCTGAGCCTCATTGTGGATATTTTCATTTAGTCAATCTGGGATGGAGCCAAGAATTATTTTTTTTAAAAGCCTCTTAAAAGAAATATGGGCAACAAATTAAAAAAAAACAACAACAAACTGACAATATATTTTCATTGACTTGTAATAGAATGAGATTTCACAAGCAGTGATCGAAAGGGAAAATTCTTGAAGAGACTATTGATACACTCAGCTAGATAAAAAAAATTATGGCTATGCTATATACATTAATAATGCAAAATAACACAAAATTTAAACTTTAATTGAAAATAAAATTTAAATTAAAAAATAAAGTTATAGCATGTAAGGCACAACATAAAATAAAAGGACAAACTACAACTGACAGAAAATTATTTGTGGCTCAAATTACACAAAATGCCATGAAAAACAAATCAGTAAGATATATATTCTAGATAAAAGATTAAAAACACAAAAGAAAAATGTATAGAAGAACTATAAATAGCTAATACACAGGATAAAAAATAATCAGATGATTAGCAGCCAAGAATTAAAAATCCTATCAAAATAAAGGTTTTTAAGTTTTACTTACTTCTAACCACAAAATTGACCAATACAGAATTTATCCTAAGGAAATAATGAGGACTATGTAAAATTATTTAGCCATAAAGATCTGAATTAAATTGTTCTTTAATCAAAAACTGGAAGAAAAGTCTACATATGTAATACAGAGGACTGTTCAATAAATTACAGTAAATATATTCAATGTATGCTCTACTGCTATTAAATATCATACTGTAAAAGACTATTAATGAAAGTAAAACAAATAAAGCATTTATTTCAGAGGGATATACACCATATTTTAAACAGCAATAGTCTCTATAAGAAAATTATAGTTTATTTATATTGTTATATTTGTGACATTTTCTATATTTTATATGAAGAATATAAATTTTATAAAAGGGAACCAAAAGAAAGGTTTGAGGGTTTCTTGAAACATTAGCTCTTTTACATTTTTCTTCTTACCACACAACCTTCAGCCTGTTTGCAGGAACATGTTGGACTAACAAGTACTTCCAACTGTTTTCTTATTTTCTCATCATCTTCCAACACCTGCGTGAATTTCTTCATGAAATCCTGAGCCTTACCAGGATCTGGCAAATTTCCTAAAATTCAATTAATATAGAATTTAGAAATTTCTCAAAATTTTGGCTCAAAATTAAATTAGCTTCAGATAGAATCACATCTGAGCAAGTAATACCAAAGCACAGATTCACTTTTAATAATCAGCTTATGTCATAAATTGAATTGATTTTGATTAATAATCCTAATTTGCATCTATACTGGGAAAGACTGAACTGGCTATCCTATATAATAAAAACCTAATATGCAAAAACAAAACAAAACAAAAAACCTCTAATATACAAATTGTCGCCTCAATTGGGAGTTCAACCACTAGTCATGATGTGTGCTGACCACCAGGGGGGCAGCACAAAACATAGTGGGGCATCCGGACTCAGCGCTGGCAGCAGGCAGCAGTGGAGGCCCTGCCAGCCCTGATGGGCCCCATGAGAGTGGGAAGTGGGACCATAGTGGAATGGTAGAGCAGAGAGCAGGTTGCGCCAGGTCAAGGTGGGTTTGAGCTGGGCCTGATCGCCCCACAGTCGGTGACCAGTGTCCATTACAGAGAAAGGGCAAATAGCAAAATTAAAATATTTCTTCTAATTATTTTCCTTTCAATGTGCATGAATCTGTGCACCAGGGCACTAGTTTCTAAATGATTCCTTGTAATATTTAAGGGCATTAAATGCCAATCTGAATAATTCCATTATCTCCTTGAGCTTCCTGCATACATTGTTCTTTTGTAATTCACAGCAAGAGATCAGTAAGTTTATCCTTAAGAAATGATTTCTTGCCAAAACCGGTTTGGCTCAGTGGATAGAGTGTCAGCCTGCGGAATGAAGGGTCCCAGGTTCGATTCCGGTCAAGGGCATGTACCTTGGTTGCTGGCACATCCCCAGTGGGGGGTGTGCAGGAGGCAGCTGATCGATGATTCTCTCTCATCAATGTTTCTAACTCTCTATTCCTCTCTCTTCCTCTCTGTGAAAAATCAATAAAATATATTTTTTTTAAAAAGGAAATGAAATGATTTCCTTATACTCCATTGTTTATTATTAAACCATCTAGATAATCCATATGTGCACACATGCTATCTGACACCAAAACATAAACAATAAGTTGCAGTTGTTATTGCCAGACATGCCATTATTGTATAAGAAAGAATGAGTTTTTGTAGAACCAATAATTTTTATACTATTCTCCTAATGTGTCCATGTATCAAAAACACTTACGATAGCTAATAAAATATTGATCCTAGAATCTTTTTTTCTGGCAACTTACAATTGCTACAGAGAACCAAATAAGATACTTGAACAGAAATTATAATATAGAAGTAGAAATTCAACTGAATCTTAAAATGTAAGTAGAGTAAATGTGTCTTGAAGTTCACATACAACTCTGAAATTCCATTTTAATTCTTGGCTAGATCACTGAATGTGTTAAGAAGAAATTTACCCCCTAAATAATTCAGTGATAACCTTTTTTATGGTTCTCACAAAAGATCTACTTTGTTGTTTTCAAATGATTTTAGAAAATGTCCTTTTACAGCTCCTCCACAGTGGATAAGCATCCTATTAAAGGTTACAGAAAGGCCTACCATTTTAACAAACAAAACAAAAAGAGAGATGGGAGAGTGGAGGCAGGAGAGGAAAGAAGGGAGATAGGAAAGGGCGGGGTAGAGGGGAAAGACAAAAGGAACAAAAACCCTTTAATTCTGTATTCTACAAATGTACTTGACCAGAGAGTCCCCTTTTCTAACAATACAATTAACTCCTGCAGGGTATTAGCATTCCCCAGAACAGAATTATGGAAATACTAAAATTGTTTGAAGAAATGGATGGAGGTAAGGAGAGGAAGAAAGAAAAAATATAGATGATATCTCTTTTAGGGGTAGTGTCCATACCCAAACTGCAAAGGAGATAGTTATAAAAAAGTAATAGAATTCACTTGCTGTAAGTTATCTAAAAGAACTGAAAATGTATTTATGTATAACTGATTATGATTAAAATATACTTTGGGATTAAAGCCCTACTTATGCAAAAATTCTTTTCACTTAGTCTAAAATCCAGGAGTTAGGTCTTCAGTGTGTTAATACTACTTCCATACACATCTTGAAATATTTGTTAACATCTCAAAAATCCATCTAATCTCTCGTTGTTATTACTCAGTGGAAGCTCAGCATCCAGGTGTTTATTTTCCCTGTCCCTTTGTGATCCATGGTGGTAGAAAGAAAAAAGCAAATGCCCTGCAAAAACAACTGCTATTATTTCTCCCTGCACTGAACCAGGGATATACTACATAATCCTTTTGTCTTTACTGTTCAATGAAATTAAGTAACGCTTTATTTTAAATCACTGAAAGTAAAAAGGCTAATTAATAATTGTTTTCAAAGAAACTCTTTTATAATCATTATAAATTTTAGCTCAAAATGAAATTAGCTTCAGATAGATTTGGTATTACAGCAAACAAAAAATTCACTTTTAGAATCAGTTTATGTAATAAATTAAACTAATACTTAAAAATAAATTTATGTAAATCCTTTATCAAGATCTTGCATGTATTAACAAACAAAACATTTCCATCTCGTATGCAAAATAAATAAAAAATCTGAAAAAAAGGGGAAGCTGAGCCGTCAAAAAAAAAAAATACTTTTTAGTTTTTTCCTATATTATTATATTCTAAAATGGAACTCCATGAAAAACTTGAAATTATCAGAAATGTTTCAACTAAAACTTAAATTTTACATATAATACTTGAAATAACTTACTTGTAATGACCATCACTTTTGAAAATATGGCCTTGACACTGGTATCTGTCTGAAAAATCACAGAAAAAATGCAAAATTAAAATTTCTTAATGATCTTCATCATATTCTTCAGAACATTAGATAAGCATAATCTACAAATGCTCCAGCCTTACCACCACTCTATGCTCCTTTTTTACCTATGAGAGGCCCAATGCATGATATTCGTGCATAGATGGGGTTTCTAGGCCTGGCCGACGATCAGGGCCGGGCCAATCAGGGCCCAAAGGCCCTGGTGGGGTCAGAAAAGAAGGTGATGGTGCTGGGACAGGTGAGGAAGGAATGGATGCCAGATGGCTGATGCAGCCACTGCGCGGTTCCCCACCGCCCCCCTCTCCCACCTCATTTCCTGACCATCAGGCTGCCACCACGGTGGGCAGGTGGTGGGACGAATGGGACCTGCCAGCCAGAAGGGAGAGGGCACAAAAGGTTGGCTGCTGGCCACGAGGAGGGAGTCAATCCCCCTGGGAAAGCGGCCGCATCCGCTGCCATCCAATTTAAAAAGATGCTATTAACATGAACAATTTTCCCAAGAGTGCTAGTTACTTGCTATATCAGAGTATTATTCCAATGCATGAACATGTTCACCACATTGTACTGCATGTAATAATACATTCTGTAAAATCAAATGTATAAAAGAAGTTTCAAAAAATGCTACTTATTGGTTGGATCAGGTGTTATTTTTTTTCAAAATGTCACTGAACAACTCAACTCTAAAATACAGAGCTCAAAAGACATTGGGGTGAAAAAAACAAATCAAGTAAACAAACACACTCTCCTATTAAAATGGCACTTGCTGAGAGGAACTGAGAAACAAACAAAATCCTATATAACAAAGAGGTAATATGCAAACTGACCATCACTCCAACACATAAGATGGCTGCCACAAGATAGCCAACATGGAAGGGAATTTGGGAGCAACCAGGCCTGCAGGGGAGGACATTTAGGGGCGACCAGGTTGGCAGGTTGGGCAGTTAAGAGTGACCAGGGAAGCAGGGGAGGGCAGTTAGGGGCAATGGGGCAGGCAGGAGAGCATTTAGGTGGCAATCAGGCTGGCAGGGGAGTGGTTAGGGGGTGATCAGGCTGGCAGGGCAGAAGTGGTTAGGAGCAATAAGGCAGGCAGGCAGGTGAGTGGTTGGGAGCTAGCAGTCCTGGATTGTAAGAGGGATGTCCCAGACTGCAGAGGGTGCAGGCTGGGCTGAGACATTCTCCCCCTCATCCAGTGCACAAATTTCGTGCACCAGGCCCCTAGTAGAGTATGAGAGAGTTAACTCCCAAATATTTGGTATTTAAAATATTTTGAATAAGATTTCTGTTTAATTTGGGAGAAAAGAGATGGTGTGCTGGGCTTTCAAGAAATTGATCCGCATGAAAAAAATGTTATCAACAAACTTATAATCCTGAAAATTACCAAGTCACTTTGAATGACACTAAGCAAATCAATTTAGTTAATAAACCAGAAGGACTCCAATGCTGAGCTAAGTAAGAAAGAAATACTATCTTAACAGGCTAAATAATGAAGAAGACAAAAAACATATATATTGATTATTAAGCATCTAAGAGTCTTCCCAGTATAACAGAAGAAATATAAACACCCACAAGTTAAATAAAACTTTGTATTTTTTTCTAACTTTATAATGTATACTATAATTCTTGATAGAAGTAAATATTAAGTAATTTTTCATTTATAAGAAAGGGTTACTATAAGCCACTCAAACAAACAGTGCAAACTCATTAATTTTTATAGCAAATGGACAAATTTACACCTAGGAAAACAGTAAACAACTGTGCTCTATTGATCTCTGTTCTATGAACATTAGGCATACATTATGAAGGATGGGAGAATTTCTAAACTATGGACTAAAAAAATAAATGAAAAATAACACTATATTGTGTTCCCAGGTTCAATTTAAAATGGCCAGACACACTGCTTTTCATGATTTATACTTTTTTAGGCTTATAATCACCATTCTAGGAAAATACACCTAGAATGTTTAAAAAAAAGAAAAGAAAAAAGACCATCCTAAAATCATTCTAAACGTCCAAAAATAAAATATGATACATCAACTGTATGAATACCCCTATTACCTTATAATTATGAAGAACAAGAACAACATTAATGTTACCAAATATTAATTGTAAATAAAAATATCAAGACACTTAATTCTACGGACTAAAACTTTCTAAAACCACAAGGCTATACAATCACAGGGGGGAAATTTTAGTGTGGCAAGATAAAAGTATATAATTTTACTCTGTTACCTATGCTTTTAATGATGTGCAGTTACTCTTTTGGTGTGTATGTTTTTCAAATTTAAAACTACAAAAACAAAACAAAACAAACACACACAAAGAGGGGGAAAAATCGAAACCCCTTAATTCTGAGTCCTCAGAAGCATGTTCTTTTTCCTATTGGGTATCACCTTTTACAGATATAAGAAATTTCAATTTTCCATACAGTAAGTTTCTTCAAAATTTCATGTCTTAAATTAGAAACCATAGCTTCTAGACCAGAACTGTCCCACTCAGAAATACCTATTCAACATACAGCAGTAATGGTTAAAGATAAAAAGTAGCATCAAAGGAAAAGTTTTCATTAAATTTAACTTACTTTGGGTTGCTTAATTAAGTCAAGCAAATCCTTTACTTGATGTCTGAGCAGATTTTGACATTTCCACATTTCATTTAATGCTCTGAAAAAGACAGACACATAAATTTAAGTAACAAAGAGTAAAAATCCTTCCAGAACATTCTTAATTATATTAAATTTTTTTTGTCAAGTTCAAATCTCAAAAGGAAATGACAGAGATTAGATAAAATTAATAAGACTAAACTAAATGATGATGTATGGAGAAAAAGCAAAGCATCAAATAGAACAGACAATAACATTTAAGAAGATACCTGCATCAAAAGAAAGGGATTTGTGGTATCATTAACAAAAATGTTTGTAGGCTAGGGTACAGAAATTAACTACAGAGATTATAAACTTGAGAAATAAAGGAATATAAGGAATACTTGGTGAAGTAAGGTCCTGTGGAGGCAGACAGGACCAAAAAAAAAAAAATAAAGACACATTCTCTAAGAGAATAGGAATAATTTTTCCTAAAACAGAAATATTGTATTTGTTGCATTACATATGTATACAACACTTTATTTGACATACATGATGTAATATATTATGTATTACATATATTTAAATAATTATTAATATATAGTGAATGATTTTTTTACATGGCAAAAATTTTGATTCCTCTTAATACTTTAATTGTTCTCAGGCAAAAATGTAAAAGAAATCATACAGGTGATCAAGAAAATATATGTAAATAACAGAAAAAAGTTAATGTTGAAATTAAGTTATATAAGAGCAGAACCAAACAAAAAGGATAATTTTCATATCCAAATAATACTCTTCATTATTGTATTCAATTATCTGCACTTTTATTAACCTCCATTATTCCATATATGAAGCACTGCCATAAAACAATATAGAAACATACAAAACTACTTTTTAAAAATAAATAAAACAATTGTAAATTGTTTCATATTTTCATTCTCCTCCTTAACAGTATGTTTTAAAAATACATTTGGCTCATCTAGCATGGCTCAGTGATTGAGCATTGATCTATGAATCAGGTCATAGTTTGATTCCTGGTCAGGGTACATACCCGGGTTGTGGAGTCGATCCCTAGTGTAGGGCATGCAGGAGGCAGCTAATGAATGATTCTCTCTCATCATTGATATTTCTTTCTCTCTCTCCATTTCCCTTCCTCTTTGAAATCAATAAAAGTATAAGTTTTAAAAAATAGAGCAAGCAATCATCAGATTTGTATGGAACCACAAAATATCCAAAAAGCCAAAGAAATCCTCTCTGAAGTCAAAATATATATATATTTTTTGTTTGTTTGTTTGTTTGTTTGTTTTAAATAGCTTTTTCCCTAACCAGTTTGGCTCAGTGGATAGAGCGTCGACTTGCTGACTGAAAGGTCCCAGGTTTGATTCCAGTCAAAGGCACATCTCTGGTAGGTTGTGGGCACATCTCCGGTAGGAGGTGTGCAGGAGGCAGCTGATCGATGTTTCTCTCTCATCGATGTTTCTAACTCTCCATCCCTCTCCCACTCTATAAAAAAAAAAAAAAAAATCAATAAAATATGTTTTTTAAAAACTTTAGAAAATAGCTTTTGGAGTTTTTAAATAAATTAGTATAGATTTGGATATTTAAATTCCTCCTAGTAGTCACCTTAAAATGGTAAAATGCAGTATTGGAGCATTTTCACCTAATAAGTGAAATTTGAGTTATGTAATTAAAATATTAATTTTCAAAGAAATAATAGTCATCTGTGAAATACTTTTGAGCTTCAAAGTCAGTTATTCTATCTCTTTCTATACACCTTATCATTACTTTCATCTTCTGAAAGACATGCATTTTAAAACGTACGTTAAAACAAATCATTGCCTGTTATAGTTATTTATTAATTTAAAGATGAAATCTCATGCAATTCTAAAGCTCATTACAAACTACTAGAGGACTGGTGCACGAAATTCGTGTTCTTGGGGGAGGAGGTATTTCTCAGCCCAGCCTGCGCCCTCTCACGGTCTGGGAAACCTCGGGGGATGTCCGACTGATGGCTTAGGATTGCTCCCCAGGAAATTTATCTAAGCAATCAGTCAGACATTGTTAGTGCTACTGCAGAGGCAGGAGAAGCTCCTACCACCACCGATGCACTCAACAGCCAGGAGTCTGGCTTCAGGCACACTGACCACCAAGGGGCAGCTCCTATGTTTAGCAACTGCCCCTTGGTGGTCAGTGCGCAATACAGCGATGGGTCATCCGGCCGATTTGCAAAATATCCTTTTATTATATAGGACTAGAGGCCCAGCACAAGAAATCGTGCAAGACCCAGACCCTCAACACTGCCGCGGGGCAGCAGGACCCCAGACACCGACCTGCCACGCTGCCACAAGACTCTAGACCTGCTGTGCTGTGAGACCATCAATACACCTCCTGGTGACCAGTTGTTTGGTCATTATGGCATATGGCCACAGATCTTTTATAATATAGATTATTGTTATGGCTTAAATAAAAAAGCAATCATCACTGACTCAGATTTTCTATTCCAACGTATTTAGGGAGCCCATCTTCTCAAAAACTTTAAGTTATATTAAGCAGCCAAGACAATTGTCCTGTGTCTTTGTCTTTCTAAATAGTCCTTTTAAAAACAAACAAACAAAATTATACCCTACAAGCAATACTACTATAACAGGGAGACAAATACCTATTTTTAAAATATGTTTTTATTCATTTCAGAGAGGAAGGGAGAGTAACATCAATGATGAGAGAGATCATTGACTTACTGCCTTCTTGCACACACTCTACTATTTAACATTAACTTTAATTCCAGTTCTATAATGTAACAAAACCTATTAAAAATTGTTTATTCTCACGTATGCTATCTAACATTTCAAGCAGGCAACTAATTCCCTCACTGGGGCTTCTCCTTGTTTGCACCAACATAGTTTATGCTACCTCAAAAAAAAAGGCAGGTACCTTGATGCGGTCAGAAACCTGTGGAAATGGTGAAGAAAACCTTTCTTCAACCTTCTGCTCTAAGTTGGCCCATCAGATTAACAGTACAGAAACAGTCTGGATAGGAGTCTGTCCAATGAAGATCACAACCGGGACACCTAATACCTGCACTTATTCTTGTCCCTAGCAGTTGTTCTGGGAAATTTGGGGAAGGGGGACATACACATCCTGAACTCAAGCCTGCCTCAATTCTCTTTTTCCTAAGTTAAGACTCCCTCTCTGGGGAGATTGCGAGCCCCTGACTCCTGACCAATCACATCGCACTCATCTTGGCTGGCGTGGCACAAGTGCGTGTCATAGTGTGATTGTCCGGAAGGTCACCTGCAGGTCGTTCTGTTTGGTCATCCAGCTGTTCAGTCGTTCAGCAGATTTGCATATTGTGCTTTTATTATTATAGATAAGATGAACTGAATCCCACAGGACTTCAGTGTCACAAATAGTAAGAAAAACAGACAGGATTTGAACTCAGTTTTATCTGGTTCCACAGCTCACTCTTTTTTCACTGCATATATTAAAATTTCCTAACCTTCAGTATGATTCAATTAGCAATGTCTCTTCTATGTCCAAAATGCCAATTCTATACAAAGATGCCCAAAAATATTTTTTGAATAAAATATGGTTATAAAAATTTGCTTGTGCTAGCCCTCATGCCAAATTATACCACTATGATGAGGCATGCAGCAAAAAAATATGTACTCTACTGCCCTATACCATAGTGCAGATCAGCATCAGATGAAAAAAAAGGTAGTATTTTCGTAGTATGGACCTTTCTAATGTCTTAAGGAAAAAAAGGCACCAAAAAGAAGGTACATCAATATTTCTCAAGAAAATAATATGAAAAAGGGAACAGAGAAAAATCAAATCCTAAAAAGAGTTCACCACAGCCAGCTCTATTTTTTAATTACCTACAAAAACCCTTGTTAATCTCATGTTGATAGTAGTACTTTATGAGAAAAATAGCTGTGTATTTTACTTCTGAGCATTTAAAGAATGTTTAGGTTTTATATTACATAAATTGTTTACATTTAAAAATACCATTGTTATTCGCCCCCCACCACAACCAAAAATCAGGTATATTATAGAAGATGGAAAGAACAATTTGATTTCTGAAACATACTTCACAGCATTTAAATCCAGTGTGGCATACAAGTAATATAAGCACTTCATCCGTTCTGTAGTTTCCAAATTATGGGGAACCATGTATTGAGCAAAGATCCGTTCAACAAGCAATCTAGGAAAGAACATAGAGAAGGCATTGTCTTAATTTTTTTAAATGTATTAAATTTGTATATAAAATTTCTAAACACATAAGGAACACATATAATAAAAATTTCTCCTAAGTGGAGATTAGAGTTCCAAATAAAAAATTTATGTAGGTGAAAATAGGAATCAATCAAAAATATGTAATGACTAGGGTGATGCCTGGTGGGTATCTGAAATAGCAGAGGACTATTCTGTAAAGTACATGACTGTCTAACCACTTTGCTGCAGATCTGAAACAAATATTAATACAAAATAATGTTGAATGTAAACTATAATTTAATTTAAAAAAAGATACAAGAATAGGTGCCAAAAAAGATTTTAGCTGGATACTACTTTTGCATGAGCCTAGGCAAGTCATATATCAAGAACTCAATTTTCTTATCTAAATAATAAAGTATTAGAAAAAACTACATCAAGTTCTTCTAAATATCTCTTAAAGTTATAAAGAAAAATTTTAAAGATTCTTTGAATTTTCTAGTAATCATGATGAAAAAAGTCCTGATTAAATGTATGGAAAGTGCTATCAAATTGTATTGCATATCCTTATATACTAATGGCTATGCACTCAGTCCATAAACTTCAATTTATAAAATAACCACTATGGGATTTCTCATATAATGTTAGCCTAAGATACACAGATTCTACTAACTATTCAATTTAAATACATACAAAAATCTGAACTTACAATGGAATAGAAAAATACAAGGATTATATTCAGATGTGTTTTAAATATATACCTATAAACTGTTTTTTATCTCTGAGTAGGAATGTTTTTTTAAATGTCTATAATACAAAGGATTTATTTTCATTTATATTTTATTTGGGGGAAAAAATTGTGATCCCTATAATACAATTACTTAAGAAACAAAATCTATATCTATAAAAGGCTAAGTGACCAACTTGTACAGATGATCTCCGGACGAGCAGCTGGTTGGTACATATGATGCACACTGGAAATTTAAAAATAAATGTTGACTGGCACATACGTGATACAGATAAAGCTCTCACTGGTACCAACTGCACACATGTGTTCCAATCTGTCATTATCAATCTTGAATTTGGTTGTTTTTGTTGAGATCCAACATGAACCACATCATGATTTATTCATTGACCACCTGACCGATCAACTGGCCATATGATGTGCATGGCAATTTAAAAATAAACACTGGCCAAAACCGGTTTGGCTCAGTGGTAGAGCGTCGGTCTGTGGACTGAAAGGTCCCAGGTTCGATTCCAGTCAAGGGTACATACCTGGGTTGCGGGCACATCCCCGTTAGGGGGTGTGCAGGAGGCAGCTGGTTGATGTTTCTCGCTCATCGATGTTTCTAGCTCTCTCTCTCTCTCCCTTCCTCTCTGTAAAAAAATCAATAAAATATATATTTAATAAATAAATAAATACTGACTCACAAATGTGTGATACATATAAAGCTCTCACTGGCGCCAATCACACATGTGTTTTAATTTTAAAACACTGTATTGTATAAACTATTTTGACATGTAATTTTTTGCAGTAATGTAATTAACGGGTGAATCTTTCTTCTAATTGGTTTCATTTCAATGTGCATAAATCCATGCACCAGGCCACTAAGTATAAATTACAATTACACACATTGTTACTTTCAAAAATTATTCTGTCCTAAGATAATATACAAATGAACATAAAATTGTATCTATTCCTAAAGTTACACGCATATTACTGCTTCATTTAAGGCTTTAAAGGAAGAAAAATAGTTACTCAGTACCTTTAATTTGCAGTTAAAACTGAGGAGGGAGTTTAAAATGATAAAGAAAATAGTTTTGTCCAAAACAACAGATCACCAGTTATATAACCACCAAAAATTTTACTTACCGATCATCAATACTATTTTGATAATATATATGTAACAATTTATCTTTGATCCATGAAATCTGTTTTGCAGCATCTTTTCCAGCAGCTGATTGTAAAGCATATTTCTTATAAATCTGGGCAAGTCCCATCATGGCTTCTTTTCGCACTCTCCACTTAAAATAAAAACAAAGGTGTTTACTTATAATATAAAAATGTTTTCATTATATTAATTCAAAATTCTAGATATCTAGTTTCTAGTGTACTTGATACAATTTATTTTCCAAGTTATTGAATATCAATTTATAATAAGTAGATGAAAAAATGCAATGTATCATTTTAACATACCTACTATAAAAATAACAGATATATCAACATGCATAAAAAATTTTAATGCTTTAGTATCTTAAACCATCATCTATACATATAAACAAAAGCTAATCACAATCTATGTAAAGTATGCTTGAAAATATGCTACCAAGATTTAAAAGGCAAAGAAAAAGCTTGATTGGATAAATTATGACTTACTCTTTATAATTTTTTCCAGATTCCTTAAATATAAGTATGCTAGTACATTAAGCATACATATATTAAAGATATACGTATAATATTGGCTTTATCAACTGCGACACATCATAGCTTCATTTTATATATCTGGGAATTATATTCAAGTATAAGAGAACTGTACTCAATTATCTATAATAAAAGTGTAATATGCTAATTAGACCGGACAGCTGAAGAACCTTCCGGAACTCCATCCTGACAAAGCTGAGGCAGCAGAGGCTGGGGCCGAGGCGGTTAGGGGCATCAGGCAGGAGGGCAAGCAATTAGGGGTAATCAGGCAGACAGGGAAGCAGTTAGGGGCGATCAGGCAGGCAAGAGAGGGGTTAGGGGCAATCAGGCAAGATCATGCCTAAATCGGCAGTCGGACATCCCTGAGAGGTCCCGAACTGCAAGAGGATGCAGGCCGGGCTGAGGAACTCTGCTGCCCCACACATAATTTCGTGCACTGGGCTTCTAGTTTGTTTTTTTTTTTAAATAAATACAATTGGCTATAGCATGTTTAACACTGCTTAATTATTATGGGATGAGCTTATTCTTTAATTTTATGTCAACACAACACTATAATCAGTGGGATGTTTCTAATAATTAGAACTTCATTAATATGCAGATTATTCATTTATCCTTTGCAGACTCTCATTTATAACAATATTCTTCCTTTTATCTTTAAGTTAATTATAGTAGATTAAGAATAGGCCTTATCCATCTACCACATACACATTGAAATAAAAGACTTCAGAAGTCTTATTCATAAAATAAGTTCAATTTGTAAAAATTTTATCACTAATTCCATCTTATCTCTACCTCTAATTCTCCAAACTCCTGCTTGGAGGAGAATTAAAGATAGAGTATATTCTAAGACTACCAAAAACATAAATATATTCAATTATATTTTGGTATTCAATATTTATATGAATGAACCAAGTAACCCTAAAATGAACAACAGTATATATGAGCCGAAGCCAGTTTGGCTCAGTGGTAGAGCGTCGGTCTGTAGACTGAAAGGTCCCGGGTTCGATTCCAGTCAAGGGCATGTACATTGGTTGCGGGCACATCCCCGGTAGGGGGTGTGCAGGAGGCAGCTGGTCAGATGTTTCTCTCTCATCGACGTTTCTGGCTCTCTCTCCCTTCCTCTCTGTAAAAAAATCAATAAAATATATTTAAAAAAAAAAGTATAGATGAATTAAGATCCCAAAATACACACCTCAAATTCCAAGTCACTTAGAAGGCTGTTTTCCTACTGTTATGCAAATCTCATTGTTTCATACCCCGGTGAAATAGTCAATGAAAACAAGTCTAAATTAATCAGTTTAAATATAATAAGTTGTTCTGAATAGCCACTGAATTGGAGGGAAAAACCATGCAATTTCTGCCCATCTACCACAACCAGCATTATCAAAGATAATTAAATTATGAGGATAGCATAATCAGCCTTATAAGCAATTATTAAAATATAGGTTACACAAATATAAACAAGGCAAGGGTCTCTTCAGAAGCTGCTGATTGATGAGTGGAGCTAGAGGATGCACACTAAAAAAGGAAGGTTTGGACCTAGTTGATTTGGGTCAGTGGATAGAGCCTGTGGGCTAAAGAGTCCTGGGTTTGATTCTGGTCAAGGGCACATGCCCGGGTTGTAGGCTCAATTCCCTGTAGGGGGCATGCAGGAGACAGCCGGTCAATAATTCTCTCACCATTGATGTTTCAATCTCTATCTCCCTCCTTAAAATTAATAAAAATATTTTTTTAAAAGAAAAAAAAAAAAGGGAAGAAAAAGGAAGCTGTGGCCCTGCCTAGGTGGTTCAGTTGGTTGGAACATCATCCCATACACTAAAAATGGTTGCGGGTTTGATTCACACACCCAAACACATACCCGTTATGAAGAATACGACAGGCAATGGATATCGCCAGGAATTTCTTTCTCAAATACATACATATATACATACATTTCCTTGGGTGAGGATTAAAAAAAAAAAAAATGGAGGAAAGTTGGGGTCACAGGACATAAACTAGAAGCATATCAAGTTTAGTTTTGTCAAACTGAAGACATCTTTTCTTTTTCTTTCCATGGAAAGGAGAAAACAACCAGCAACAGGAGTAAGAACCAATACTCATATGAAAGGAAAAAAGAAAAGAGAGCCAACTATAATATATGAGAGAAGCTGTCTCAAAGGCCTTTTATATATGTCACTTATTAAAACTAGTATACAAGCTGACTATGTGACTACCACTGAAAGCCACCTCATTTTTAAAATGAAAACAATCTTAATAAAGAAAAATAAAATTTAATGTAACAAAAAATAAATCCTTTCATAAACACTATTTTAAATATTAAAGTGCTTATTCCCCCAAAAGGGCTAATTACATTTAATTCTTTTTTTTAAAATATCTTATTGATTTTTTTTTTTTTACAGAAAGGAAGGGAGAGGAATAGAGAGTTAGAAACACCATTGAGAGCAAAACATGGATCAGCTGCCTCGTGCACACTCCCTACTAGGTATGTGTCCACAACCAAGGTACTATATGCCCTCGATCAGAATCAAACCCGGGACCCGAGTCCACAGTCCGATGCTCTATCCACTGAGCCAGACCTCTCAGGGCGGGCTAATTACATTTAAATCTCAATATTTTTAAATGAAATACTATGAAACTTCAAATATTCAAAATGACAAGCTATAATAATTATTACTCCTACTTACCCGTTTGTCTAAAGTTCTCTCTCTGACAAAATTAAGTAAGTGATCATTGACCAGAAGAATATCCTTTTTAGCAGCTGTAACTATAGACACAATAACATCATGTCTAATAGCTTCCTCAGGGTCATGTGACCTCACTTTAAGATACTCTGAAAGATAAAGTTTTAATTGATTGAAATAGAGCTTTAACAATTGAAATGTCTTTAAAACTTGTATCCTTTGAAAGTAAACAACAACAAAAACAAAACCTAAGTAAAAGGTTTAATGTTTCGAGTAAACTGGGAGCAACGAGAGAGGAAGAGAGGAAGGAAAGAAAACAAAGGTCAGTCCTTGATTCAAAACAAAGTTTACATACAACTGAGTAGTAAATCCCTTTCCCATTTGCAGGGCAGGGTAGTTTTTCAAAGAGTTCCTAACCTCATTAAACAAAGCAACCATATAAATGAACCACAAAGTATACCAACATTAATATTTCACCTTTGCTTTTTATTTAAATTGTTAAAACATTCATGTCAAGTAGTTCTACTAGGAAAGGAAAGTATGCTCAAGTTTCTATTCCTTAACTAGGAAAACTTTCAGTGAGGTTATTGACAGTATAAAATTTAGATATGATCATCAGGAAACAGGATTTCAGAAAACACCATAAGCAATTCCATTTAACTGAACGAAGAAAGGCCAAAGGGAAGACAGAAGAAATAAAACATTTAAAAATTATGAGTGCATAGGAGTTCAGATCTTGCACTGAGAATGCTGAAAGAAAAATTAACGATCTTCAGTAATCATATATTAGGCTTAAGGAAAATGTCATACAATTAAATATAAATTTTAAAAAGAAAATATTCAGCTTTTTTTTATAAGAGCAGTAAGATAAAATTTTGTTGTTTAGATTTGGAATAATAAATATTGCCAGACCTATACACAACAAATGGTGCTATGAATGTGAATGAATTTACTTCTCTCCCGCCCCCCTCCATATTATTAGTCATATATATATGAACAATATATATATATATGACTAATAATATGCAGTGTCCCCAAGGGAGTTCAGCTGGACCTGTGCTGACCACCAGGGAGTGGCGTAGAACAAAGGAAGGCCCTGGCCAGCAAACGGCAGCCGGGGAAAGGAAGCCCCAGCCAGAAGGTGAAAGGCCCAATTGGCCCTGATCACCAACCAGGCCTAGGGACCCTAACCATGCATGAATTTCGTGCACTGGGCCTCTAGTAAAATATAATTTAACAAATACTTATAATGTAAACACTCATAAAAAAACAATGTTCAGGTCTGAAGCCCATCCACTTTGAGTATTCTCTACTAATAGAAATTATTCAAAAAAATGAGAAAGACCATATGCTGCTAAAGAAATGGAAAGGTTATTTTACCTAACTCAGTAAAGAAAGTTATTTTTAGCATATCTCAAATTCCCCACCAAGATAAATATAGGAGTTTTATCTTTCACTGTACTTGTTTTGAACACAATACATACTATTTTAGGTACCCTCAAAAAAGAAAAATGCAATAACCATCAATTTTGAAATGCATCCCAATTTCTCAAAAACAATCATTCATAAAACAGCTATACCAAAGAGCTATTAATTTATATTTACTGTGCAGTAAAAAGAAAAACAGGAGAAAGAAAGAAATTATCAATAGTTACTTAGCATGAGAAAGTATCTAGTACTCTTCACAATATGACTATTGTGAAATTATCAATAGTTACTTAGCATGAGAAAGTATCTAGTACTCTTCACAATATGACTTTGATGTAACTGAAGACACAAACATGAATCTCACAAAAACACTTTATAATAATAAAGTCAACCAACCACCAACAGAAAATAACTGGGGGTGGCAGAGGACTGCATGTAACATTGTTGATGTGTACTATGTAGTTAGGCTTACATTGGCTGTATCTGTACTGAACATGTACAGGTGTTTTCCCCTGTCATTATTCCCTAAACAATAGCTAACAACTGGGTGATCTGATCATAAATTTCTAACTGGGCAGGGTCATGGTGGGCAATCATGCTACAGGCCTATAACGCTTTTAATGAAATGTTTTAAGCCAGCCCTGTCTATTATTTTTGTGCACCTAAGTTAACACACTTTTGAAATATTAACTATCAGGAAAGCACATACTGGGAGAACGAAGATGTCAGCATAGGTAAACACACCTAATCTGCTGCCATGCACAACAATTCAAATATACAACTATAAACCCAAGCCTTAAACCCAAGGGAAATCTGGCAGAAAGGAAGCTCTACAACTAGACTGAAAGAGAAAGAGGAGAATTCAGGACACAACTGCTGAAAAACTGAGGTAGGGGGGGCACAAACATGATACACCCTGGCGTGGCGGCGGATCCCATATGGCGGAGGGCGTTGCTTTCTTCAACCCGAAGAGAGACAAGGTCCGAATCTCTCTGAAATCCAGTTTCTGGGGAGAGGCTAGACTGCCATTCGGTCGGAAAGTGAGGGTAACTGGCTTGCAGAGCTTAGCGCAAGAATATTTGTTTGCTGTGCTGTGGTGTTAGACTTGGGGAGAAGCGGGGACACGGGGACACAGATTGGAGAGGAGGCTGATTGGCAGCCATCGCTGTTGGCCACGCCTGAGCCTAGTGACACCCTGAGACTCTGCCTTGGACTCCGCCCCTCACAACATATCCAAGCTCCAAGCACCGGATTTTGCATATGAAGGGCCCTCTCAGTTGCAGTTTAACCTAGCAAAGGAGGAGAGAACTGTGGTTCACACTGTAGCTCCTGCAGGGTGCAGTAGCTGAACCACATGCATTGGAGATCCAGAAGCCAGTGCTCCCAGTGCTCAGTTTTAACTCCTCACACCCATGAGTGACACATTCAGGAGGCGGCCTCAGTGAGCACCAAAGCGCCACTGAAACAAAGTGTGTCTCCAGAGCAGCAGTTCTTCCTTTATAGACACAGCAGGTCCTCACAGACAATTGGCCTGGAGGTCAATTCCTCCCTGTGTACCACCAGCAATCAAGGCTTAATTACACCAAGACTTTGCACTCAGCCCACAAAGGGATATCGCAAAAGCGACCACCTCAGGTGATTGGGGAAGCTGAGCTACTGACCCCTATAGGTCACCTACCACACAAAGCCACTCCATCAACACAGGGAGGCAGCCAAAATGAGGAGACACAGAAGCATGTCACGAATGGGTGAGATTGAGGAAAGTAAACTACTGGACGACACAGAGTTCAGAACACATTTATAAGGTTACTCAAGAATTTTCTAAAAACCTTTGAGAAACTTGATGAGACCTCCAAAAAGCTTGGTGAGATCTTCAAAGACCTTAATGAGAATATCAAAAATATGGAAATGAACCAGCCAGAAATTAAGCATACACAGTCTGAAATAAAGAATATACAGAAACTCAATAATAGATCAATGTGCCCCAAGAATCAAACCAAAGATCTGGAATATAAGGAAGCAAAAATCACCCAACCAGAGAGGCAAAAATAAAGAAGAATCCAAAAGTGTGAGGATAGCATAAGGAGCCTCCGGGATGGCTTAAAGTGTACCAGCATCCAGATTTTTGGGGTGCCAGAAGAAGAGAGCAAGCAGGATATTGAAGGCCTTCTGGAAGAAATAATGACAAAACTTTTCCCTACCTGGTGAAAGAAATATACCTGCAAGTTCAGGAAGCGCATAGAACCCCAAACAAGAGGAATCCAAAGAGGACCACACCAAGACACATCAGAATTAAAATGCCAAGGGCAAAAGACAAAGAGAAAAATCTTACAAGCAGCAAGAGAAAAACAGCTAGTTACCTACAAAGGAATACCCATACGACTGTAGGCTGATTTCTCAACAGAAACTATGCAGGCCAGATGGGAATGGCAAGAAATATTAAAAATGATGAACAACAAGAACCTACAACTAAGATTACTCTACCCAGCAAAGCTATCATTCAGAATTGAAGGTCAGATAAAGAGCTTCAAAGAAGAAAAAGGAGTTTATCAACACCAAACCAGGATTAAATGAAATGTTGAAGGGCACTCTTTAAGAAGAGGAAAAAGAAGAAAAAGGTAAAGGTAAAAAATTATGAACAAAAAGACATCAAACTCATACCTACCAACAAGTGAATCTAAAAATCAAATGAATAAAAAATCTGAAGAACAAAATTGACTGGTGAATACAATAGAATCAGGGACATAGAAAGGGATTGGACTAACAATTCTCAAGGGTAAGGGGGTCTGAGGGATGTGGGAAGAGATTGGACAAAAATCTTTTACCTATGGATGAAGACAGTGGTGGGGGTAAGGGCATGGGTTGGAGTTGGGAACCAGGTGGAGGGGAGTTATTGAGGGGTGGGGGAAGAGGAACAACTGTAATAATCTGAACAATAAAGACTTATATTAAAAAATATTTAAATATTTATAAAAGTAAAAAGAAAAAGAAAGAAAGCACATACTCTAAACTATCCTGTAATCCAATCCCCAAATTGCTTCCTCACACCTTCATATAATCTTCCTTACTTTTCCTTTTTAATTTTAAATGCATAAAAGAAAGTGCAAAACTGTTATTCTCAGGAGCATCTGAGATCTTGCTCCCTGCTTATATTGTCAAATTTGGCTAAAATAATGTTCATAAAAATTCTCTATAAATTTGGATGTTTCTTAATTCAACAAAAATCTTCAAAATAACCTAAGGACTAAAATGATTATTGATGAAATAATTCACAGCTAAAGTATTTTCTAAGTAGCTATTAAAGAAGAAATCACTGTCCGGCCCGTGTGGCTTGAGTACTGATCTATGAACCAGAGATCTCAGTTCTGTTCTGGTCAAGGCACATAGCTGGGTTACAGGCTCAATCACTGGCAGGGGACAAGCAGGAGGCTGCAAATCAATGATTCCCTCTCATCACTGATATTTCTCTCTCTTCCATTCTCCTTTGAAATCAATAAAAATATTTTTTAATCAACACATCTACCTATTATTTAGTCAATAATAAACTTTGCTTTGAAGTTCTGACTATGGAAAAAGCTGCTTAATTTTTTTTTATACTTAAAAAAAAATCCAGAATACCTACAGAATTACTGCAAATCAACAACAACAACAACAAAAACAAGTCAATTAAAAAAAGATAGGTTTAAATTTTAAACATTCACTTCATAAAAGAAAATAATATATCAATATGTACATAAAAATGATGCTCAATCTCATTAGTCAATAGAAAATGGCAAATTAAAACTACAAAAAAACAAGACCTATGAGAATTGCTAAAATTAAAAAAAGACTAATAAAACAAAATGACAGCGAAGATATTTTACAACTAGAACTTTCAAATATTTCTCTTGTAAGTAGAATATTTCTTATGAAGTTAAATAGGTATTTACCCCATGACCAGCAAATTCACTCCTAAGTGGTTCCAAAAAGAAAAACATAAAATCCACAGAAATACTTGTATAAGAATATTCACAGTGATCTCAGTTATAATAACCCCAAACCATAACAAACCAGATATCCATCAAAAGAAAAAAAAAAAAAAAAAGAATAAATTCATTATGGTGTATTCACAACAAAGAAATATTGCTAAAAATAAATAAACAATATAAAAATACCAAACACTAGCAACTAGAATTTTAAACTCTTGATAGGATACCCTTCTCTGGAGAATCTGATTAGTTCAAGAGGCATTACCAAGACCTAACCCTTCAAATTCACACTAGAGTAAAGGTCAGAGTCATATAGTCAGGGCTTTCTAATCAGCTTTTCATTTAGCTCCCACTCTTTAATTATGAACAAATAGCCATGGATGGCCAAGCACTTAAGGAAAACCTCTGACATGGAAAATAGAGAGAAAAGCAAATGAAAAGTTAGCTGAACAGACATTTTGTAGGGAAAAAAAGAAAACCTGCCCAAAACACTGATTAGTTTTCTGAGAATATTGAAGAAATAACACAAGAGAACGCCACAGTGAAAGGGACATCGATGTGAAAATAGGAGGAAAGATACAAAAGGAAGATAGACACACAGATGTACTCACAACAGCCTGCAAGCACAAGGAAAGGAAGAATGAGGAGAGGGGACATGAAAAAGAGGGAGGAAGCATGAACTGTCTTATGAGCAATACTATAAAGCAACTCACAGAGCAAGCAGTTCACATTCACATATGAGTAGGCAGATAGAGGGTTTCAAGGAGGGTATTTCTCCCTCCTGCTGATAAATACCTACTGTTAGAATCTGACTGACAAGTCAACAAAATGTGAAAGCACCATCAATTGTTAAAAATATTACAAAAAGCTAAACTTCGTCGAAACCGGTTTGGCTCAGTGGATAGAGTGTCAGCCTTCGGACTGAAGGGTCCCAGGTTCAATTCCAGTCAAGGGAATGTACCGTGGTCAAGGGCATGTACCTTGGTTGCGGGCACATTCCCAGTAGGGGGTGTGCAAGATGAAGCTGATCGATGATTCTCTCTCATCAATGTTTCTAACTCTCTGTCCCTCTCTTTTCTCTGTAAAAAAATCAATAAAATATATTTTTTTTAAATTTAAAAAAAGCTAAACTTCGTAATTTTACCAGAAGGAAGTACTAAGAATTAAGACGAAACTGTGAGCAAATCTATAATAAAAGCGTACTATGTTAATTAGACCGGATGTCCTTCCAGACAACCTTCCGGAGGAAGCCAGGGTTGCAAGGGAAGCCCGTGTCCCAGGTGCCAGAGAAAAGCCAGTGCCGGCAGCAAGGGAAAGAAAGGCCTTCTCTAGCACGAATTTCGTGCATTGGGCCTCTAGTACTGATAAAAAGGGCAGTTACAAATATAGTAAACGTTGATATAAAGTAAAAAAAAAAAAAAAAAAAAAAAAAAAAAGATGAAATAACAAGCAATAGTGTGACAAATGAGAAGAGTGTTCAGAATTTTAGCTTTCAGAGGTCACTGACTGATCAGAAAGATACTGGAGAATTTTGATTAACTTTATAGATTTCATTAATCTATTATTCATTGAAAGAACAAAAGTGAATGTTAACCTCCAAGCACATGGAGAAAAAAATTGAACAAAAGAGAAGAAATCAGAACAAAAGTAAAGAAAAGGCATAGAAAATAGAACACAAATAAGAAAGCAGAAATAAGTTCAACTACATCAAAGTCAAAGGATTAAATAAAAATATTAAAGCACATGACAATAATATATATAATTTATGGAAAGATATAGGTGTAGCCTAAATAGAAAACCATGAACAGGATGCACACCAAATTTAGTAGAGTGGTTTCTGTAGAAGTAAGAAGGGAGTATAGTTTGTAAGGGGCATTTTAACTAAACGTAAAATTTATTTTCTTTTATTAAATATCTTAATCCAATTCAGTAAAATGCTAACATTTCTAGGAAAACATAGAAGCTATTTTATTTATTTATATTTTTAGAACTATTCCCTAACTTTGAAATAGATAACAGAACAATAATAGTCAAAGCAATGATTTCTCATTATTACATAAAGTTCTGAACTGCCTTATAATTATACAGATTTCAAAAACCTTACTTGCATTTTATAATGGTTAAATTAGCTTACAAAATAATGACTCTATCCTAAGTTCCCCAAATATTGGTAAATGTTAAAGTCTATATTATAATTTAGTCACAGTCAAGACCTGTTCAAATCTAAATGCCTAAAGTATCTTTAGAAATATCCTTAAACTACAAAATTAATATTGTCTCTGATAAAACCAACATTTTATAAGTGCTTCTAGCCTAAGTAGGCACTGGGAAGTAAAAATTCTAGCTTGAGAAAGTAACTCTGATGATGACGAATTGAAATAAGACTTTACCTAAAACAGAAACAAACAAACAAAAAAGTTGTTTATCCCCCAAATATTTAAAATAGATTTTTTTCACCAAGGAGAACTAGAAATATTTGTTGTTATGATATACAGTACCTGTTAAGTCCTTGGCTAAATCAGGATGATTCATGAGACAGTGGCTAGCAAATTTTACACATTCCAGGCGTATTGGTACATGAATATCATTAAACCTGATGAAATACAAAGACACAGTGATCTTTAAAATTAGAGAAACATGTGTTTAATCTGCAATCAATTTATATTAATTTCTCTAATAAAAAGAATAACATATAGGATAATTCAAAGTGGACTCAGAGACTTTATCAAAGTTTTTGATATGCCATTCTATATAATCTTATCTAATAAAAGAGTAATATGCAAATTGATTATACCTTCATTACACCCACAAGCCATGCCCACCAGACAATAAGGAGAAAATATGCAAATAAACCCAACCAAGATGGCTGTGGCTACAGAGAGCAGGAGGGAGGCGTGGGTTTCCCAGACAATGGAGGAAGCCAAGCTTTCCACCTGCACTTGCGGGCCTAGGCCTCCACTCAATGCTACAAAGTTTAAATTATAGAAGGTAAGTAAATTCCAACAGAAATGGCTACAGCCTTGGAGCAAGCTTGGCTCTGCTCCAGGATACAAAGTTTCAATTGTAAAAGATACATAAATCCCAGATACCAGGGCCTCCACTTGGGTCACCAGGGGGTGTGGCCAATCTGCAAACCGCCACAGGCCCCTCGCCCAAAGACTCCACATCCCAAGGGAACCCCTACCCTGACCTGGGACACCCTTCAGGGCAAACCAGCTGGCCCCCACCGTGCACCAGGCCCCTATCCTATCTAATAAAAGAGTAATATGCAGATTGACCATCACTCCAACACATAATATGGCTGCCCCCCTGTGGACACAAGATGGCCATCAAAAGATGGCCAGCAGGGGAGAGAAGTTGGGAGGGACCAGGGAGGGCAGTTGTGGGCGGTCAGGCCAGCTGGGGAGGGTAGGTGGGGGGAACCAGGTCCCCAGGGGAGGGCAGTTAGGGGTGACCCAGGCTTGGAGATGAGGGAAGTTGGGAGTGACTGGGCCTGCAGGGGAGGGCAGTTAGGGACAACCAGGCCTGCAGGGGAAGGCAGTTAGGGGCAAACAGGCTGACAGGGGGGCAGTTAGACATCAATCAGGCTAGCATGAGAATGGCTAGGGGGTGATCAGGCGGGCAGGCAGAAGTGGTTAGGGGCAATCAGGAAGGCAGGCAGGTGAGCAGTTGGGAGCCAGCAGTCCTGGATTGTGAGAGAGATGTCCCAGATTGGAGAGGGTGCAGGCTGGGCTGAGGGACACTCCACTCAAATTTCGTGAGCACAAATTTCGTGCACTGGCCCTCTAGTAATATGCTAAGTGTCTGACCAATCGGTTGACTCTTTGATCAGTTGCTATGACACACATGAACCACCGGGGGCAGACACTCCAACCGGTAGTTTAGCTTGCTGCTGGGGTCTGGTGGATGGGGACAGGGCCAGTGGGTCAGACACACACCGGAGCCCTCTGATGTTCCCTCTCCAGCCAGCCTGCCATCATCAGCCCCAATCAGCCCTAATCCCAGGCCAAGGGACCCCACCTGTGGATAAATTCATGGACTGGGCACTATTATGTATATAAATGTTCTGAAATCTTATTAAACTAAGACAATCTCCTTTCATAACTATGTACTTTAAAGGGGCATGTTTAAATACATATTTGATTCAAATACAAGAATTTAAAATGACAATTTTTTTTATAAATACTATACTTTAAAATGTTTATGAAAGTATAATGTATGTACATAGTTCATACCGTGTTTCCCTGAAAATAAGACATCCTCCAAAAATAAGACCTAGCGCATGGAAAGATAAGACATGCCCTGAAAATAAGACTTACTGCAACTTTGGGAGAAAAAAATTAATATAAGACACTGTCTTATTTTTGGGGAAACAGGGTAGATACATCATATAAATCTTATACTAGGTTTAAAAAGAAAACTATTCCTCAAAGTATTATTTTTACACAGAAGTATTCACAGATGTGTGGTAATCTGGTGCTCAAGCGTATTATTTTACACTAGAGGTCCAGTGCGTGAAATGTATGCACGAGGATGGGAAGGGGAGGACAGCCCTCAGTCCAGCCTGCACCCTTTCCAATATGAGACTCTTGGGCAATGGTCAACTGCAGGTTTGTGCCTGAGCTTTTAATAGTTGACAGCTCCGTTGTTGTTTCTTTCTTTTCATGCTAAACCCATTAGGATTAGTAGGTATTCAAAGTGTGTATATTATACATTTTGGGGGGACACCCTGTATATCTCTAGTCAGCAGTGAAAGGAACCAACGGCGGATTTGGAACCGCCAGACATGTGTCCCCACTCCACTTCCTATTACTCACTCCCTGCATGTGTCCCCACTCCACTTTCCACCTTCGAGGGCAGTGGGAGAATCAATGTTATTTCTCATTAACTTGGAAAAGCACATCCTTTCACCTGCTATCCAGCAGGAGCGTGATAGGCTCCGAGAGAGCAAGGCTCAATCAGGGCAGCCTTCGCTCATGGGTGCTGGCACCCAAAGTGCACATTCCTCCTCTGCAGTTGCCCCAACTTTCCCACCATTTCACTAAGAGGACGGACCTCCTTGCCTCATCTGGGTTCCTGATCTTGAATACTGACCGAAGGCACCTCAGCAAGGGCAGCCTGCAACCACAAGGTATGTCTGTCCCTACCTGCTCCCACCTCAGCACCTGCATTAGCCCTTGGAGGTAATCTCATCGCTGCACTGGCCTCCGCGGGAACATGACATCACCACTCCACCCTCTCACTCTCATTTCACAGGCACTCACCCTCAGCACCCAGAACATTCAGACACACTCTAAAGGACGAGAGCATGCTGGAGGGAACGTGCGCACATCCTGTGGGGGGTGTAGGCATGCTGGGGTTGACGGAAGTGTGGCGGAGAGGTGAGGGGAACTTGCACACAGCATGGTCCAGGACTGTGACAGCGTGCTAGGGGACGTGGTGAGGGATGTTCGCACACCATGGGGGAAGAAGAGGATGTGCATACCGGAGGCCTGCAGCTGCACAGATCCACAAACCCCCATGGCATGGCCAGGAGGATGTCAATCTGGCCCACCAAGATGACTATCTCTGCACCTTCTGGGCCAGGAGACGGGACTTGCACAGCCACTCCTCAGCACTGATGGCCAGCAGGCAATACTTCAGCTCGGCCCGTAGGCTCTGCTTGGCGCCTAAGGCTGCCACCACCGCCATGTGGGGAGTACAGGCCGCCCTCTGCCAGCCTGCCTCCGGCCCAGAGGCTCTCAAGCTCACTGGCCATGGCTTGGAGTGTGTTGCCCAAGGCAACAAAGGTGGGCGTCATGTCCTGCCCTGCCCTGCCCACTGGCCTCTCCATGCCTGTGCGTGCTCCCTATTGGCCTAGAGCAAGATGCCTGGCTTCGTCACCTTGAGCAGGGCTACGGATAGGTGGGCAGGCGTCCCGCCTAACCCCTGGCTGCTCAGAACTTGCGAGCTGCCCATAGGCCTGCCATCTTTGTTGGGTTAATTTGAATACTCACTTCTGATTGACTGTGTGTGTTGCAGAGATATGGTCAATTTATTATGTTTGTCTATTATTAATATAGATGACTATATTATAATTATACCCAAATTAGTCCTATCCAGTTAACCATCACAATTATTACATACCCATTAATATCAAAGTCAATTTTTATATGGAAATGTAATACATTAGCATCTCTTAAAAAATTTGGATGATATGTCATTAAAGTATCTTTTAATTTTATATTTTCCCTTCATTTCCTTTTTTTTTTCCATTATAATTTAGTGAAGCAACTGCTTTTTGTTTGTGTATAGTGTTTTCAAGTTAAAATTTTGCTAATTTTATCATTCTGATGGCAATTAACAGGCTCCCTTTTCTCCTAAATTTATATGGCTAGGATCATATAAAAGTGATCATATTAGGTTCATTTTTTTTAGGAAGACTACTTTATGAATGGCATTATGTTCCTCTATCAGGAAGCATATGATATCTAATTGTCTCTAAACACTGACATTCAAAAATAAACAATAAAAATATTAAAGTGAAGTGAGAATTTTCCACTTGCTATTTTCAGTCTTAATTCTGTAAGATCAAAGGTTTCCAAATCTTATATTGCCTAATACTATAACACACAAAATTTAGCATTTTATAGAGAAAATAAGGCTTCAAAATAAGAACCACATTACTCATAAAAGCTTATTACTAGGGGGAAAAAAAAGTTGTTTTATAAAAAAAAGAAATTATAAATTCTAGTCTATGATCTCATAAAATTTCTTGAGTGTTTTGAATCCAGATACAATTTACCATTTCTCAATGTACCATAATAAATAAAATAAATTATTTTTAAGAAATATTCTAGCTCCTTGAATTTGGTAATAATGTCAAAGGTTTTGTCATTACAAGTAAAAGAAAAAAAAATTACAAAGTAATAGAAAGTTGACATACATTTAAAATAGGATTTTTCTTACATAAAACCTATGAAGTCTGGGTAGTCCAAGTCCTGATTTAAAGTTATACTTCAAATGTCTATATGTAAAAATTGTATTTTTGTTTTAACACATTAAACAAATGGATTTTAAACTTAATCTTATCATCTAATTACACTTGTAAAATATTTTGCTTTACCACTCAAGAAGTTTCCACTGTATTAAAAAAAAAAAAATCTAAAATAAAACTCAAAATGACAATAGGCTAATATTTGTTAGTTTAATATAACTTGTTAAATGTTATTTTTTATCTATAGGAGATAATCAGATTAAGGATTTAGCCCTTAGCCAGTACTTATAAAGGCTTATGTAGTTATTAAAAAACAAAAGCTATTAAAAAACAAAACAAAAACTAAAGACAAAAATTTATCATAATTCAGTGACAATTCTGGGGTTCAGATAGAAATAAAACTGGTAACAAAAATAAAAATATTGTCTTGGCTAGTCTGACTCAGGGTTTAGGGTGTTGGCCACAGAACAAAGAGTTTCAGGTTTAATTCCCAGTCAAGGGCATGTACCTTGGTTTTAGGTTTAATGCCAGGCCTGTTGGAGCACATGCAGGAAGCATCCAATCGATGTGTCTCTCTCACGTCAATATTTCTCTCTCTCCCCTTCTCCCTCTCTCTCTTTCTCTCAGTCCTCCTTTCCTCCCTCCCTTCCATTCTGCCTGACAATCAATGGAAAATACATCCTCTGGTGAGAATTAAATTAAAATATTCTAATACAAAGGAAATATAGTAAGTCCTTAAATCCCATTTGTCTATTAATGACTTAATTACATTATTTGCTATGAGAGTAATTTGGGGACCGAGGAGGGAATCCTTTATCCTTGGGGTCAATGTAGGTTTCAGCCAGGGCACTGGAAGTGGCTTTAATATATTCAAGATCAAGGATACCTTTAGAAACATAAAGAAATGAACCCTTCTCACAGAAAAGAGAAATAAGCAAACACACTCAAAATTTGGCAACCAATTTCAGGAGGTTTGTGGGTCATTAAAAGTGTATGAGGGCGGAAACCGGTTTGGCTCAGTGGTAGAGCGTCGGTCTGCGGACTGAAGGGTCCCGGGTTCGATTCCAGTCAAGGGCATGTACACTGGTTGCGGGCACATCCCCGGTAGGGGGTGTGCAAGAGGCAGCTGGTCGATGTTTCTCTCTCATCGACATTTCTAGCTCTCTATCTCTCTCTCTTCCTCTCTGTAAAAAAATCAATAAAATATATATATATATATATATATATATATATATATATATATATATATATATATATAAAAAGTGTATGAGGAACACAGGTTATCATTTCTTTAAAAGAGGAAGAAAGCTAGGAGGAGGAACATACGTAATCGTTCATTTACTCATTCTGTGACTGTCCTTACAATATATATCTCCAAATAATCTAATCAAATATAATTATTTTGTGGAGGGGTTATCTTTCAAATTAATGTATTTTTAGTTAAAATTAATTACTGCTACATAATAATACATTTTAATTCTATAATTATAATAGTTTGTGAGGGAACTTTAAATGTATCATTTTTTAAAAATTATTGAGGACAAGATAAGAAGAAAAACAAAAGGAAAATTGTAAATGTGACTAATCGTGATCAGCATTCAAAAAATCCAAAACATAAAACATTTTTTTTATGATTTCAGAGAATAAACTTAAATGTGGATGGTGTTTTAAAGAGATATAAGTAGATATAAACATACAGGGCTGTTAAACAGGACACCAAAATCATATACCTGCCCAAGTAACACTGCCAAAGTGGTTTGTTTTGAGAAGCCAATTCTGAATCCTTTGCCCCAAACATTTTTGCTAGTAGTTTAACAACTTGCAGGCGTTCATCATTATCATTGCTCTAAAACAAAACACAACCATAGCTTTAAAAACATGAATTAGATATATCCAGAGTCATTTTCTCATTATTTCTCTTATCCTCCAATTATACAGAAAACCTTCCATAAAATCTAGGTGAAATATTATATATAAAAATGATCAATATACTTTTCACAAAATTAAATCTTCAATGCTCTAATCATCTCAAATTACATCAAAGCAGTACTTCCCACATGAAAATACATCTGAAAGTTTGAGTGAATGTTAGAGGTTACCACTTTACAATTATTTTTATTCAAAGTCAAATTCAAAAACTAACTTGCATCAAACTCTTAAAAAAACCATTTGTGGTTTTTAAGAACACTGACAAAGGACAAGTCTTCCAGGAAACAGAGAATTCCATATGATTGTCCAGGTTAAGCTCTTTGTAGGAATAAATATATGCTGAGGTCTCTCAGTAGGAGAGTTCATGCTCATATACCAGACTCATAATGGAGTTCAATAATATGATGAGGTCTTAGACATGCAAAAATTAAAATTTGTTTTCTACACTATATTGTGGGTTCTCTAGGGATAAGAACTCAATTTTACTATTACTGATTTTGGTAACTGCAACAGATGACAGTGGTTAAATGGATAAGCAAATTCTAGAATTGAATATAATATATGACAATTGAGAATATTAAAAAAATACACACTGATATTCAAGGTGTGAACAGCATTATATGATATTTAAAAAATTTTAAACCAATGCTTCAGCCTTGCATTGAGAGCTCCCATAATATGACCTAATTCATTTCTACTATCTAATTATTCTTCCACACAAGTTATTTTCAACCCTGACTGCACATTAGAATTACCTCTAAGGCTATAAAAGAGCAAAACCCAAACAAACACACAGAAAAATAAAAAAATAACAGATGCCTGAACCCTATGACAGAAATTCTGATCAACTGGTTTGGTTTAATGCCTGGATATGAGCTTGTTTATAATAGCTCCACAGCTGAAGATTCTAATATGCAGCCAGGAATGATTTAAATATACTTTATTACTGTCATCCAACTATATTTCCCTGTGTTCTACAAATTCACCCAGCATCTTCCTACCTCTATATGCTTCTGCATGATGTTTCCTTTGCTTCAATTGTATGCTGTTTGTAACTTTTGTGACACTTACAATATCTGGCCCTTTATTAAATCTGGATTAAATTTTCTTCTTCCTTTCTGACTAGATGTTAGATTTGCTGAAAGTAGGAATGATAATTCCTTATTTTTACATTTCTTAGAGTATTCAATATTTTTATTAGAGAAAATAAGACCAATATATAATTAAAGGTATGCCTGCCTATGCCGCATCAAACTGCTAACTACATGAAAAAAGAGGAGCAGGGAGGCAGTTAAATCAAATAACTCACCTAAGAAATATACCAAAAATGCACCCAAGAATAAAACAAGAATTATTTTTCACACTTCCAAAAAAAAAAACAACTGTTTATTTTGTTGTTTTTGAAAGACAAATAAAAAATTTTAGAAACAAAAGATATAACAGAAATAAGAACTTTTCTGTGTGATACACTGGATCCACAAAGATTATTAATTATAAACAGCTTTAATTTTCCTGTAATAATTTTGAAGAAAAAAAGATTATCCCCCAAATCTGCAAATGAAAATAATAATGTCAAGTCAATGGTATGTTTTTAAGAGATTAAAAGCAAAGGTGCTTTTAACATAGGAATGTATAAGATATTATGCACACAAAAAAATATTTCACATGATGTGGATAACAGACCCTAAACTATTTTTACAGCCCAGTCAAGGGGTTTTGAGAACTACTATAAACTTGAAAACATTAGCGTAGTGAATAGTTATAACCTTAAAAGTGAGTCACAACCTAGAATTTATCTTGACAATATTTTGAGAAAAATACCATCCTTCCAATAATTAATTGAGCAGCTACTATTTGCTAGGAATCATGACAGGCTTTCAAGATATACAAATAGTCAAGGCACAAATATGTAATTTAAATAATAAATACATATCATTCCTTCTGTAATCCTCAGATAAAAGCATTATAAGAATTAACAAGCCATAAATAATAATCTTTGATGGTTTATAGAATATTATTTTTAGAATAGTTACCTTTAGTTTGAATTCAAGCTGGGGTAAAACTGAGAGCAGCAAATGACTATCAATATTATAGAGTTCCAAAATTAAGTCAAAGACATGTTCTGACAAATCACTGATAGATGTTTTCCCAAGCATCAGAACCTGGTTGAAAAACTTTTGGGGAAAAAAAAAAAGTATCATTAATAGAAACTTTCTAAAATGTTAGGTATTATTCAACTAAATTATAATTTCATAAAAAGTCAAAGTAGGCATATGAAAACATTTTCTAATAGTAAATAGGAAACCATTTCAGCAAGCATGTCAAACTTGCAGTCCAGGGGCTGCTTGCAACCCTCAAGGAAAATTTTTGCTTTCCAGCTAATATAACAGTATGTAAGAAATGTTGTAATAACAATTTTGTGACCTAATTTTTACAATATCCTGTTGTATATAATCCTACCTTATAAAAGAGTAATATGCAAATTAACCATCACTCCACCCAAGCCATGCCCACCAGACAATCAGAGCAAGTACATAAATTAAGCCCAGCCAAGATGGCTGCAGCTAAAGAGAGCAGTTGAGAGAGGTTTGGATTTCCTCAGCAACAGAAGCCATGCTTTCCACAACCCCTGGTCAGCTTAGGCCTCCACTCAAGGCTACAAAGTTTCAATTATAGAAGATACATGAACCTCAACAAAAAAGGCTGCAGCCGAGTGAGCAGGGCCTTGGCTCCGCTCCAGGCTACAAAGTTTCAATTATAGAAGGTAAATAACCCCCAGATACCAGGGACTCCACTTGGGTCACCAAGGGGCATGGCGGACTGCAAACCATCACAGGCCCCTCGCCCAGGCCACCCCACGCCCCAAGGAAACCACCACCCTGATCCGAGACACCCTTCAGGGAAAACCAACCGGCCCCCACCCATGGACCAGGCCTCTATCCTATCTAATAAAAGAGTAATATGCAGATTGACCATCACTCCAACACAAGATGGCTGCCCCCATGTGATCAAAGATCCTGCCCCCATGTGGACACAAGATGGCCAGCAGGGAAAGGTAGTTTGGAGGGACCAGGCCTGCAAGGGAGGGCAGTTAGGGGTGACCAGGCCGGCAGATGAGGGAAGTTGGGGGCAAACAGGCAGGGGAGCAATTAAGACATCAATCAGGCTGGCATGGGAGTGGTTAGGGGGTGATCAGGCTGGCAGGCAGAAGCGGTTAGGTGCAATCAGGAAGTCAGGCAGGCAAGCAGTTGGGAGCCAGCAGTCCTGGATTGTGAGAGGGACATCCGACTGATCGGGCCTAAATGGGCAGTCAAACATCCCTCCAGAGGTACCAGATGGGAGAAGGTGCAGGCTGGGCTGAGGGACACCACCACCCTCTATCCTCCCTACCCCCCAGTGCATGAATTTCATGCACCAGGCCTCTAGTTATTAATAATGAACTACAAAGTTCTCTAATGACTGATCTATAATCATGTTGCATTCTTTTCTCCCTTACACACGGGAGCACCATTTCCCTCCACTAATTCTAGCAGCGAATATTTTAGCAACTGACTGCCATGTCATTAGTCTTGTACTAACTTGTTTGGTATGTGCAACAAGAAATATTTTGCTTTTGAAGAACAATAAAAATAGGTTTATTTGCTTTATGCTTATTAATTTGTGCAGTTCTTCAGTGTCTAGTGAGTTAATGTTCAAGAAAAAATATTGATTTTTATTAAAACGTTTCTATTATTTTGTGTTAATAACTAGAGGCCTGATGCACAGAAATTCATGCAAGAGTAGGCCTTCCTTACCCCAGCTGCCCCCACTGGCTTTCTTCTTGGCACCTGGGACCCAAGCTTCTCTCCCCCTGGCCGCCACAGGCAACTAGGACCCTGGGTGGCTTCACCCGGGCCAGCCACAGGCACTTAAGATCCTGGGCAGCTTCACCCCTGCCCTGGCCTTGTCAGGAAGAACATCGGGAAGGACATCGGGAAGACGTCCAGTCTAATTAGCATTAATCTTTTATTAGTATAGATTACTCATTTATTTTAGCCTTTTGTATTTAGCATGTCTATATCGAAATAAATCTACGCTTCTATGAAAATTGAAAGCTTTGTTTTTTTTTGTGGCCCACATAAACTTAAACCTTGTTTATTTGGCCAATGTTAGGCTCTGAGTTTGACATGCTTGCACTACAAGTTATATGAAAAGATAAAACAAGGAATTCACATTATACACAGTTTAAAATAGCATTATCAATAAATGCTCTACTACCAAACACATTATTCATTACAATCTTTCTATATTTTATCCTGTATTAGTTGTCTTAATTCTTCTACTAGATAATTCCTTAAGGATAAGGATGACTTCTTGCTCACCTTAACATGTATAGAATAGCATAGAAGACAAAGCCTTACACCTTCACAGTAAGAACTAATTTCATTTTTAAGATATGTAATTATATATTTACTAGAGGCCTGGTGCACAAAAATTCATGCACTTTGGGGTGGGGAGGTCCTTCAGCCCAGCCTGAACCCTCTCACAGATTGGGAACCATCACTCCTTACCGCCTGCCTGCTTGCTTGCTGCTCCTTAAGGCTCAGCTTGCTGCTCCTTAGCACTGCCTTGGAGACGAGAGACTCCCACCACAGACACCGTGCTCGCCAGTCCTGAACCTGGCCTCTGGCTGAGAGGCACCCCCTTGTGGGAGCACACTGACCACCCAGGGGCAGCTCCTGGTTGGAGTGTCTGCCCCCTGGTGGTCAGTGCGTGTCATAGCGACCAGATGTTCAATGTTCAGTTGACTTGAACATTAGGCTTTTATTATATAGGATAATGCAAAACTTCTTTCTGATCCTTTTTGTTATTTATACTCTCATAAATAATAAACAATGCACAAGGTTTATAGCAAAAATTCAAATCCAATTAAAAGCACATATAAACACAAGGAAAATAAAAATTTGAACCTTTTTTTTTTTCTATAAGCAGCCAACTCCCACATTCAGATCATCCCACTACTGAAACTGGTAAGGATGCATGGCATAATGATCAAGTTCTTAAGTATTTAAACTCTTTTAAATATGTAAAAATTAACCCAGGGAATATATAACATATTCTCAACATAGCTTGTCTTCTGAAAGAACGAGTTAAGGATTCTTTACACCACATAAGCTGCCCTAATCTTTTCTCTTTGTGACAGTTTAACACACAACTTGGTTAAAAAGCTTTCTATACGGAAAGTATAAAGTCAAAGACTTCATATTTCTATGTCTCTTCTGCTTTATTTTAGTTCTTGGGTCATTCTTAAACAAAGTTTCTTAGGCCTATAAACCTGTATAAACTATTTATGCATGCAGGGGGGAAAAAAGAACAAGTTCTGTTTTACTATTCATTTTTTTTTATTTATTTAATATGTTTTATTGATTTTTTAGAGAGGAAGAGAGAGGGACAGAGAGTTAGAAACATCGATGAGAGAGAAGCATGGATCAGCTGCCTCCTACACACCCCCACTGGGGATGTGCCAGCAACCAAGGTACATGCCCTTGACCGGAATCGAACCCGGGACCTTTCAGTCCACAGGCCGACACTCTTTCTTTATTGGTTTTAAAAACCATTTGTTTTTTCCCTCCTTTTTTATCAATTTTCTGGGAAAAGAACTTCATGACATCAAACATTAAATTCTCATTTAGGTTGAAAATACAGAAACTTTGCTGCTTCAACTCACAAATTTTCAACCGTTTAAAAACAGTAAATCTAGTTTTCCTTAACAATAACAACAACAACAACAACAACAAAAAACAATAATCCCTTCTAATATGGCCACCTTGGTGATGAAAACATCCTCTTCTATCAGTCTGGGAAAAGCTCATTTAAAAAAAAAAAAAATGATTTCTTAGTTTATTTCTTACAAATTCCATCAAAAACATTTATTTAACATTTATATAATCTCCATAAAGCTAAGGACCAAGTCAGTCTTCTTCACGCCCTACATGAGGGCTTACAAATTAGTGGAGGAAGCAAATAATGATTTGATTAAGTATTGCCTTTCAAAAAAATTTTTTTCAATTACAAGCGGGTAGCAAATATTCATACTAGAAATTAAATTATTTTAGAAGAATTGCTTCTTAATGAAATGAGTATGTGTAAGGTCAGTAATAAATTCTACCTGAGACTTAAGCATTTAAATTTAATTACCAAAGTGTTTTCACTGTTTAATAGTCTCTACCCATATGAAGTCAAGCATTATTAACCCCAACTTACAGATGCAAAAACTGAAACTAAGGAAGACTAAGCAATTTTTTTAGGACTAAGCAATTTAATAAAATTTTACCTATATCAAAATGGACTTGATATATTTTTCCAGTATAAGAAAATAATTTTGTGCTATCACCTAAAACTTCTGACTAAAATGATCTGGTAGCCCTGACTGGTTCGGCTCAGTTGATGGAATTGTCAGCCTGCAGACTCAAGGGTCCCAGGTTTGACTCTGGTAAAGGGCATGTACTTTGATTGTGGGCACATACCCAATAGGGAGTGTGCAGGAGGCAGCTGACTGATGTTTCTCTCTCATTGATGTTTCTAACCTATGTACCTCTCCCTTCCTCTCTGTAAAAAACCAATAAAATATATTTAAAATAAAATAAAATAAAATGATTTGGTGAAAAATAATTTACCAAGTAGTGATCCATATAGAAAAGTTTTGAATTGTCATTATGTACTTTTTAATTTTTTAAATATACATATATATGTTTTTAGCTTTCTGAGTCATCAAGTTATAATTTTTATTTATTTTAAAAAATAATCTACAACATGCATAAATCACTAACTATAAAGAACAACGTGAATGTGTCTATACATAAAAATGAAAAAGACAAAAATAAAAAATAGAAGTGGGTTTTATTGTTAATAATAATAATTTTTATTATTATCTTAGTATCTTACCTCTATTTTTGCTAATTTTCAACTAGGAAGGTAAATAAATATTGGCCATTACATATGCAAGTTCAAAAGCTTAAGAATAACTTAATAATACTCTTAAAACTATACTCATTTTATCCTGTATCAAGTTTACTAGAATTCTAGTCATTTTACATGTATAGGTGTGAGGCAAAAAAATATAAGTCTTACCAAAAACAAAACAAAACAAAACACCACCAATTCTTAACTTCACAGCTAACCCTCAAAACAAGGGATAAGAAAATAGGAGAAAGAAGAGATAACAAAGTACTGGGAACATATATGTAACTGAAAGTGTTCCTAGACCATTCTATTAATTCTGTTCCTCTGCTTCTGATAAAGATATAACACGAAAGTATGGATGGGGGGGATTATGTTTTTGCAAACAAGAACTAAAAGCAGAAATATAACATAGGGTATAAGTAATTAAGAAAATGTTTTTATACTGATTATCTGGGATGGCTAAAAGTCCTATCTTAATCCTTTTATTTACCTTTTAAATTTTATTATGATACTAGAGGCCCAGAGCATGAAATTTTATACAGTGAAGGGGGTCCGTCAGCCTAGCCTGCCCCGTCACAGTGCGGGAGCCCTCCGGAGCTGGAGGTAACCTGGCGATCAGGGGAAGGTGACACCCCATCACACCTCTGCTGCCGCCACTGCTGGCAACACAAGCTTCGGCCAGCCCTGGTTACCTGAGCCTCATCTGAGGGTTGCCTGCACCTCAGGCATTGGCTGGAAAGCTGCCATCCGAGGCTTACCTGTGCCTCGAGCCCACCCTGGGGGACTGGACTCTGCCATCTTTGAGGGCGTGGCAGTCAATTAGCATATTCCCTCCTTATTGGCTGTGGGTGCCAACATCTTTGAGAGTAGGGCAGTCAATTAGCATATTCCCTATTGGCTGTGGGTGCTGCAATCTTTGTGATGGCGTAGGGCCAATTACCATATTCCCTCTTTATTAAATAGGATTTTCAAGCATGCACAAATGTTGAAAGTGTATAATAAGGAACCTAGTAACCTAGCTCCAACAAATACTACTATTCTATCTTGAACCTTTTTTGTTTGCTTATCCAACTCTAGAAAAGATATTAACATGGTATGGTGTTATTTTCTTCTTTTTATGCCAGAAAAAGGTATCAAAGAAAGTTGTGTTTCTCTAAAAAGCATCAAAGCTCGGCAATATTAATTTAAATAATCACCAGGAGAAGCTCACCTAGTGGGTCTAATGGGCATGGCGAAAGAATACCTGTGTCTGGTCTACACACTTCAACTACTATTAACTCAATAACGAAGAAAATTCATCCACCCAATTTAACCAATATACTCCCAAGACTTACAAAACTTAATCAATATTTAGAGTTCCTTGACAATCTTGGAGCTATTAAAACAAGTTACATAATTTGATTATCCAGCTTCTGAAAGTTCACCCTCCAAAATAATTTATAAATCAAGTATATTTTTCCTAATCATGTGCTTAGAATCACTTAAGGCCATAGTCAGCAACAAAAATTGGGATTTGTCAAGGTACTGTTGTCTAAAGTATGTTACTTTTCAAAGCACATCTTTTCATGATGTAGCTTATATGCTGAATTAATTTTTGTGTAGTACAAGAAAACGTCTCCAATAATTTCAGAAAAATTAAGTACATAATTATAAAAAGTTTTCTTTCTCACTTTTTTCAAAAAGAAAGATTTATATCATTTACATATTTGAAGGTAAGTGAAAGCACAAAGTAGATGGAGAGAAAGAACTGCTATACAATGTTCTAGATTTGTTCCAAAAGGAACCATTCACATGAAAATACAATGTATAGTGCAATCTAGATTTGTGCAACTCACAGAACTGTGGAGAGAAAAAACTTACAATAAATTTCTATCAGTGAACCCATGTGTTGGAATACACTTATTCTGAAAACAAATACAAGATTGTCAATCTAGTCCTAAATAAACAGATTTGAGGTGATTTTGAAAGGATTTCATTGGAATTCTTCCCTTTTCTCAGAGAAGACAGCTTTGTATGGAATTTCCCCCAGGCAAAATAAGATAGCCAACTTTCACCAAATCAATAACATCCATACTTGCCATCAATTTTCAGATCTTCATATTAAGTTCATATCTTCCTTTAGTACAAATCAATTTAATCTCCAAAAAGCAGTAAACAATTTCTCTTAATAATAAAAAGTTCCATATATTTTACTTAATTACACTTAACTCTTTTCCTAACACTAGAAAACAGTATATCTTGCTAACTAAATAAAGCTGTTTTCGTTCCTAGGCAATTTGAAAGAAGCACAGAACGAATAAACAAGATAAATGTTAACTTTCTAGAAAATGTTAACCAAAAATAATTTTAAATAATGAGAAAGAAAATACATTACTTAATAATTAAAACAATACAAAATTTAAAAGCATGTACTACTTGTCAAAAACTGCTTCTAATAGTTTTTAAAAGTTTGGCTAATTCTTTGGACAACTAATTACAAGACTTACATTGGTAATATATGGTTCAATAGCTTGAGCTGTCCTCTTCAGTAAAGCCTTTGCCAAATCATATGCTTGTTTGTTCAAATTCTGAAAAACATAATAATATCTATATTATATTTCTCTAACTATGGAAAGCAAAATAGTACCTGTATGCAAAAACAAAACAAAACAAACAAAAAAAAAACCCTCAAATAAATGAATGAAAAAAATGTCTAAAATTCAGAATTAAAAAGAGAAGGCAGAGACATGTTTTTCTCTTAGAACTAACTGATCCACTAAATCATAACATCCCTTGCAAGCAAAGGTAAATACATTTTCTTCATAACAATGTAAACCATATAGAAAACGTCAATAAATATTTAGTAAATTCAAGAGGAGACAGTCATTCTAAATCTATGTATTTGTACACAGCTGAAAATAAATAAATACAGGCTGTTTCACTCCAAAAACTCAAATGAAAGGGTTAAAGTGAATAAAATGGGGCGAAGAAAACCTATTGTGCTTACTAGATACTAAAAAACAGACCCATCAGTCAAGCTCAGTGCATCAACAGAAACTGCCTGTTACCAACAGAAGCTGATAAAAACCTGACTCTCCCTCCAGTTGCCAATTACTTTTCCGACTCAGCTCGTCTGCACCCAGATGCTTGAAATAAAATTTCTTTTGATACATACAGCTTTATGTCATAGCTGCGTGAACCTGACCCACAGGAAAACTTTCACAAAACCTCCTAAGAGAATAAATTGGGATCTAGTGTGGGGAGGAAAAGAGGAGGGAGGTGCGCGGGGCTGGCAGGTGTGTCTACAAAAGGAGAAATACAACATTTGGGGCAGCTATAGGAAAGGAGATTTACTCAACACATCTCAGAGTACAAGTAAATTCAAGTATACAACAAGAAATATAAAGAGTAAATTATGAAAAGAAAAAAGGCACAGGAAAAGTATCTTAAGAAAATGTACTTCTGAATAGATTTTTACGATGACAGAAAGAATCATGACAAAATATCTAAAATGAAATCAAGATACATTCTAGTTTAAACATTACAGAGATCAGGGATGAATATCCTATAGAATCCTATATAACAAAGAGGTAGTAATATGCAAATTGACCATCACTCCAACACTCAAGATAGCCGCCACAGATGGTCAGCAGTGGAGGACAGTTGTGGACAATCAGGCCAGCAGGGGAGGACAGTTAGGAGTGACCAGGACAGCAGGGGAGGGTAGTTGAGGGCAATCAGGCCGGCAGGGGAGAGCAGTTAGGTGTGATCAGGCTAGCAGGTGAGGGCAGTTAGGGGCAATTGGGCCAGCAGGGGAACAGATAAGTGTTGATCAGGTTGGCAGTGGTTAGGGGGTGGGGTGATCAGGCTGATAGGCAGAAGTGGCTAAGGGCAATCAGGTAGGCAGGCAGGTGAGCAGTTGGGAGCCAGCAGTCTGGATTGTGAGAGGGATCCCAGATTGGAGAGGGTGCAGGCTGGTCTGAGGGACACATCGCCTTGTCTCCCGCCCCCCTGCCCACCCTGTGCATGAATTTCTTGCACTGGGCCCCTAGTATGTATATATGCTGAAACTCACATTCAGCATACTTTTAGATTTGTATTGTTATTTGTGTTGTATTACTTCATTCATTTCTCACAGCTACTTGGTATTTTACTATATATGCTAGTTTACTCATTCTTTTATTCATAGACATTAAATTATATGTCTTATACATGCTCCTTGTACATATAGTACTTTTCTGTAAATACTATCTTCCATTTTGTTATTTATTTATAGAGATTTTCTATAAATTTGACACACTAAACCTTTGTCAATTATATGTGTAACACGCGGTAACCTATACTTGTCTTTCCAAGAAAGTTTTTGATGTTTTAGAGCATATAGAACTAAAAAAATTAAATGTGATCAAACGTATCAATCTTTGCTTACTTGCCTTGTGTTTTATATCTTAAGAAATTATTTTCCACTTTGTGTTCAAGATATTGTTTTATGTTTACAAATAAAATTTTAAAGACTTGTTTCTCAAATTTAAATCTTTATTCTAGCTATAATTTATTTTTAGATATGGTGTAAAATAAGAATTTACTATTGTCCTGGCAGATGTTTCTCAATGGTTAGAGCAATGACCTGTATACACTGAAGGCTTCAAGTTTAAGTCTCAGTCAAGGGCACATAACTTGGATTGCAGGTTCAATCCCCAGCCCTGGTAGGGGCAAATTCAGGAAGCAACCATCAATGTGTCTCTCTCACACTAATCTCTCTCTCCGGCTCACTCTCCCTCTTCCGTTTCCTCTCCCTATTTCTCTATCCCTCCCTTCCACTTTCTCTAAAAACCAATAAGAAAAATATCCTCTGGTGACAATTAACAAAAATAAATAGATAGATAGATAGATAGATAGATAGATAGATAGATAGATAGATAGATAGATAATAAAAGCTAATTATTATTGTCCATATAAATAATCAATTGTCCTAAAAAACCATTCATTAAGTAGTCTGTTTTCCCTCCATCAACCTATAATACCCACATACTCAAGTTTCCATATAACCAGGCAGCCATTTAAAAATTCTCCATTACTTCCTTATATCTTTTTGTCTATTACTGCCTGATCATAGTCAATGAACCAGAAGGAAACAATGTCTTAACAGTGTATAAGATCAGTTCCTACTTTCTTATTCTTATTAAAAATTGTTTGGCTATTATTGGTCATTTGCTCATCATGTAAATTTTAAAATCAGTTTGTCAAACTACAGAAAGATGCACATACACACAAACACCTTCAGCTTCTATTCTGACTGAATTACATATTCATATGCAGAGCTGTCCTCAGTATGATGCTGGGTTTCCAGTCCCATAAAACATAACAAATCATGCAACACATTTAAGTCTTCTATTTTTTCAGTCAACCAATGATTCTCAACATAAAGATCATGTACATTTTTGTTATACTTCTAAGTAGTACAAGTCTTTGTTTAAAGCTACAAATGATTATTTTTATATTATACCTGCAGAACTTTATATATTGATCTTATATCTAACAACTTTGCAAAATTTTCTCATATTGTAAACTATATTTTCTTCTGTACAGGCTGTCATAGCTCTGCAAATAATTTCAGTTTTGTGTCATCTTTATAATACTTTTAAAATATATATATTTTGTTGATTTTTTTACAGAGAGGAAGAGAGAGGGATAGAGAGTTAGAAACATCGATATGAGAAAATCATTGATTAGCTGCCTCTTGCACACCCCCTACTGGGGATGTGCCTGCAAACAAGGTACATGCCCTTGACGGGAATCAAACCTGGGACCTTTCAGTCCACAGGCTGACGCTCTATCCACTGAGCCAAACCAGTTTCGGCAATCTTTATAATACTTTTACCTTTTATTTGTCTGTCTTGTTTTAGTCTACTAACTTAAGACCTCTAGTTTGTGGTGTTTAGAAATAGCATTCTTTTTTTTTTTTTTTCCTCCTGAGTGGAAGGAACATCTTTATAATATCCCTAACTTTAAAAAGGTTTAAACATTTCACCATTAAGAACATATATATTCTTATCATACATATCCTATCAATTTAAGGAGGTTCCTTTCTACTTCAAATCTGCTAAGAACTTTTATCATAAATTATACTGAATTTTATCAAATGATCTTTTCTGCATGCACTGATATTATTTCTCTTTGGTCTGTTATTTTACACAAATATCTTAATTTACTGCTAACATTTACCAATGTAAATTCATTCTACAAAAGCCAATTTTGCTTCTTATCAATAGTACTTTATAACATTATGGATACTACTATTATTTTATATTGAATTTATGTTATATTTCAAATTAAATTAGCCTATGGTTCTCCTTTGTTGTTTGGTTTAGTCTACCTCCCTATGGAAATTATACACTCACTAGAGACCCAGTGCACAGATTTGTGCAAGGGTGGAATCCCTGAGCAGAGCCTTTGGGGATCAAGTGAAACCAGCAATCCAATGTCACCTGCTACTCCTGCCTAGCCCAGTGGTCACAAGCCACATGTGGCTCTTTGGCTCCTTGAGTGTGGCTCTTCCACAAAATACCAGATGTGGGCATGCACATACAGTGCGATTGAAACTTTGTGGTCCTTGCGCGGAAGTCAGTTTTCGGCTCTCAAAAGAAATTTCAATCGTTGTACTGCTGATATTTGGCTTTGTTGACTAATGCGTTTGCCAACCACTGGCCTAGCCCAATGACCAGCTCCTGTGTTGAGCACCTGTCCCCTGTTGGTCAGTGTGAGTTATAGTGACCAGGCAACCAGTCATTGGGTTGCTTAAGCTTTTATATCTATAACTAGGTGCCCAGTACACAAATATATGCACGAGAGGGGTCCAGCTGGGTAGGAGATGTTTAGCTGGGTGCAGTGCATATCATAGCGACTGGTTGTCTCAGTCACTTGGGTTTTTTTGTTTTGTTTTGTTTTTTTTAAATATATTTTATTGATTTTTTACAGAGAGGAAGGAGGGAGATAGAAAGCCAGAAACGTCGATGAGAGAGAAACATCAACCAGCTGCCTCCTGCACACCCCCTACTGGGGATGTGCCCGCAACCAATGTACATGCCCCTGACCAGAATCGAACCTGGGACCTTTCAGTCCGCAGACTGACGCTCTACCACTGAGCCAAACCGGTTTCGGCCTCAGTCACTTGGTTTTTAAATATATCCTCCTGTATAATAAAGAGCTAATATGCAAATAGTCATCACACCCTCATGCCATCATGCCATAACAGCTCAGACACTCAACACTGGGGAGTGGGGAATAGGGACCAGTCAGGCACAAATGAGCTTGCACGAGATGAATAAGGATCAGCCAGGCTACAGCCCAGGAGAGGGACAAGCCGCCCGCCCTGTGGTCCCAGGTGCCAGCAGCTAGGGCTGCAGCGCGGGAGAGGACAAACTGCCTGCCCCACAGTCCTGGGTACCAGTGGCTACGCCTGTGCCTGCAGCCTGGGAGATGGACAAGCCGCCTGCCAACAGTCCAGGATGCCTGCAGCTGCGGGCTGGGGAAAGCCGCCTACGCAGGGTTCCCTGAAGCTGCAGCTGGCCTGCGCAAAGCCAGCCTG